GAGCGAGGTCTGCACCAGTCCTGCTCCTTACGCAGGCACTGAGCCCTCAGCTGGAGCTCTGCACCCACGTGGGGACCCCCTCAGCAAAACCAGAGTAGGAAACACCCAAAACTCAGCTTCAGAGAAGTATAACCTGTAAGGGTCTAAGTACTAAAGGATCTGAACTTGTATATGCTGAAGAGGAGAGGGCTGGCAGGGGACTGACAATGAGCAGTTCACGTGCTTACAAGGTTTTTGGAGTGGAAAAGAATAATCTGTTCTTCACGGTTAAAGTGACAGAACCAGGGGCAAGAGGCTTAAAAGTGCATCAAGAAAACACCTTCTGATAGTAACAGTGGCAATGAATTGCCCTACATTGGGTGACAGAGGGGATCCACTGGTGGCATTGACAGACATCGACGGAGGATGAGGCTGGCAGACCCAACACCACAGAGGGATGGAGGCATCACTTCATTCCCTGAGTCCCTCCCAGCCTGGATTCCCAGGACTGAACACACTTGTGTGCACCTGGCATGTTTCTGTCTCCTACTGGAGGGACACAACGGCCTTGTTGTTGTAAGACAACAGGTTTGGCAGCACAGGATCTCACGTGGGTCCTGCCACAGACTGGCTCTGAGCTCTGAGAAACCACTTGAAAATACAAGAGACTAAATCCTCAAAGGTTTTATTCACTGTCAGGACCAGCACACGGAAAGGTGTCCTGTTCTTCAGGAGGCACAGACTCGGAAGGCTGCAGGTTCCAACACTCCCACTGTGCCTCTGTCAGGAACCAGCTGTGCCCACCATTCCCACCCCGTGTGCACACACTCGCTCCTGCCCCACCAGTGCCAGCCAGGGAGGGCTTGGATGGAACCAGGGCAGAGCAGGCTGAGAAACAGAACAAATGCCAGATACAAACACCAAATTCAAATTACAAGGGCTTCCTGACATCACCAACCAAAAATCACAGACAACATCCAAGAAGCAGGTTTAGCTATAGGAAATGAGGTGTTGAATGAAGCACTAGTTCCTCTCTGAAGAGCAGATGGTCCATGACACTGCACCTGAGTAGCCACTGGCCCTTGGCAGCCAGAGCAAGGCACCTTCCTTGGTCCTCACCAACAGCAAACTGTTCTTAGCAGGAAAGTTCATTTATCCCCATTTCAACCAGAACACGAACCCCAAGCCTATCCCTGCCAAAGGATGTGGGTGCCCTGAGGGGGCTGGCAGGACTCAAGGGGCTGAAGGGGCTGTGGAACACACAGCACTGACCCCCTGGCCCCCCATCACCAGTGGCTCCCAATGCCAGCCAGGCAGGACAGCCCAGAGCTGGGGACAGTGACAGCCCAGCTCCCACCACAACTCACGGGCACCCCACACACAGACCCACGAGGGAACAGCATCTTCTCCCCTGTTTGCAGGCTGGGAATGCATCAGTGTTCACTCCCAGACAAAACAGTGGTGAGAACGATTCCCGCTCTCCTTCCATTTTCTAAAGGAGTTTTAAATACTCCAGTGTGGTGGCTGAGTCTCTTTTGTCCCACACTCGACTATTTTGAGGCACAAAGAACAAATTTCCACAAATTCTAGGTTTGTTCAGATGCTTTGTTACCTGAAATACCTTTGAAAAACCCCCATCAGGGGTAGCTTTGCAAGGTACAGCATAAAATTCTCAAGCTGCTGCAACAGTGTTTAAGAGCATCTATTTACAACTGGAAAGTCTAAATAAACACTCACTACAAATCAATTAAAAAAAGAATAAATTTTACAGACTTAAGGCTATTTACACAAAATGTAAAACACTGGTTGAACAATGTTTCCTTCTTAGATAAACCTTTTTCTACAATATTTGGGCAAGACAAAAGCCCATCTCAAAGGCAACACTGACTGTAGAAAAAGATGCTGCTCTTTTTGGTAAGGGCACAAACACTAAATGTTATGCAAAGTAGTTTGGGAGCTGAGACATGGATTATTAATAGGAAAACAAAAACCCAAAATTTGAAAGTAAAAGCTAAAGGAAAAGAGGGAACTAGCACATAAAACAGACAGTTCCAAACATCATGCAAAACCATAAACCAGGAAGTGATATAATGAATGAACAGTAAACTGATACTTTAGCTCAGTTAATGCCGTGACAAAACATGGAATGGTCTGTGTTGGTTTTTTCCCTGCAGCAGAACAGGTCACAAACCCCACTGACACTGCTGAGAGCCAACATCAGATCTCCTCCACTGTCCCAGGGCATCTTCAACACCCCAATGAAACCACCAACCCCAGCAGGGATCCTGGACAAAGCAATCAGAAAAAGGGCTTTGTGAAAGCTCCTCTGTCCGCAGGATAAAGCTGCTCTTCCTCAGGAAGATCTGAAAGGCACACAGCAGTTTCCAGTTTTGCTCTGACTTTGTAAAGTCACATAATCCCAAGTTTACTTCAACCTATGTTGTGTTTTGCCACAAAACACCTCATATTCTGACTGACTTGTACTGATAGTGTAAACACGATTCATGAGGAAAACTCTGAACAAAGAAACAGCAGCTGCTTAAAACAACAACATAAAAAAAGAATTGTTTCTTGTACACATCCTTTAAGAAGAGTTTGGAAATAAGATTCTGATCCAACGTCAGAAAACAGAAATATAGTAAAAAACTCAGTCCACTGGCTCTTTAAATTCTCATTGAGACGTAACAGATTTCCAGTGAATATCTCTGTAAAAGTTTGAACAAATTTGTTGCACATGTGAGATAATCATCAGACAAAGAGAGATCACTCTGTTACATCACAGCTGTAGCTGCATCATTAGAAAAGTTCTTAATGGCCCCTAGTATCAAAAGCCCCACATTTCTATCACTTTCAGTAAAGGTAGGATGCAGTACTTGCATTTTCTAGTTAGAGGATACAAGATTTTATAAATATACTCTTCCAAAAGCAGACAACAGACTTCATTCAGATATTTTATTTCACTGCTATATATATATATATATATACACCTAGGCTTCATTGACATTCCAAGGGATGTTCCTCCCAGGTTTGCCTTAAACCTGCCAGAAAAGCAATGACAAAAGTACCCAACAGATGAATACATCACAAAAATGGATCTGACAGTACCAAGCACAGCATGCCCTGGATGGACAACCCAAACCCTGCAAACCTCGAGGACAGGAAAGGTTTAAAAGGGACTTGTTGCTTCACATCTCCCGAAAAACTCGTGCAGCGCCCAGGAAACGGGGAGCAGCGATCCCGGGGCAGCGGGGGCTGCGAGATCGGTGGGCACGGGGTGGGGGGAAAGCCGGCGCTGGCAGCGCTCGGGGGAGGCTGCCCCTGAGCTGCGTGCGGCCAGGAGGGGCTGGGGAGTCCCTGCTCCGCCACCGCCGCCGCCCCTCCTGCCCCAGCAGCCCCGCACGGCCGGGTCGGACCCGGCGGGTTCGGCTCCGGCACCCGCGGGTGCGATGGCCGAGCCCCTCCCCGGGGGCCCCGACCCGGCGCTGCCGCCGCCGCCGCCGGGCGGGCAAAGCATTTCGGGCAGAGAGAAGGCAGCGAGCCCGCTCCGGGCCCCAACCCGGCGCTGTCACCGACCGCGGCGCGCCGCGGGCCCATCGCGGTGCGGCCGCGGCAGCGGGCACGGCCCGGGAGCGGCGGCAGGGCGAGCCCCCGCGCTGTGTGCCGGAGTGGGGGGGAAAGCGGGATGGAGCCCCGCGGCCGCCCCCTTTCCCCACAGCCCCCGGCGCGGCGTCCCCCTCACCTGCGCTGGGCGCGGCCTGGGCCGGGGCGGGGGCGCTCAGTCCATGGGCCGGGCGGGACCGGCGGCACAGGGCAAACACCAAAGAGAACGGCGGGGCGGCCGGAACTGACGGCACCGCGCGAGCCCCCGCGGGCCCCGCCCCCCCCGCCGCGCCCCGCCCAATGGCCGCGCGGCACCGCCCACCCCGCACGCTCGGCGCCGACTACAACTCCCGGCGTGCCCCGCGCCAGCGGTGCCGGCGGCGGGGAGGTGGACTACAGCTCCCGGCGTGCACCGCGCGGGCGTGGAGGGGCGGGGCCGGGACGCGGCGGCGGAGCTGTTCAGCCGCTCCCGCCGCTCCCCCCCCCTCCGCCGCCGCGTCCCGGCCCCGCCTGTTCCCGGGGCGAATCCATGGCCAGGAGGAATCCAAGCCCAGACGGGACTGTGTCTATTTTGCATTAAGAAGCAAAAAAAAAAAAAAAAAAAAAAAAAAAAAAAAAACCAGCCTGACTCAAAGCGAGACGCGGTGCCGGCGCTGCAGCTCCTGGCAGAGCGCTGAGGGGGATGTGTGTGTGTGTGTGGGGGGGTGTGTTTCAGAAATCCGTGTGTGCTCCTGTACGAGGGGGTTGGTGTAAGGTGATTGCCAAAAGAAAATTACATCATGGAACAGGTGCGCAGACAAAATAAGTTACTGCTAGTTTCGGTGTTTTCACTGCTGACTGTACAAAGTGTTTTCTAAAGAGGGAATTCAGGTGATGGCAAACGCACTGATGCTCCAGTCCCAGGCTCTGGACTGCAGGGACTGAGTTACACTCAGCTGAGATGTGAAGACAGTACATACAGAATTTGACATCTTAAACAGGTCTCAGGAGCAACCTTAGTAACATAAGAAGCTCACTAAACGTAACAAACTACAACTTAAATGCTTTCACCCGAATCAATATATATTTATCTTTAAAGCAGCACAAATTAACCAAATTCCAATGTTCTGATCCAATCCCCCAAAATATAATATTTTTGTTTGGGGTTTTTTTTTTAAATTAAACATTTCCAAAGGAATCTTTATTGTCCAGCTTTTGAATCATCCTGTCAGAATTACAGAACACATTCATCCGCCCACACAAAAGATTATTCTCTGCTATGACCAAGGAAAGTGTCCTACCGGACTAAAAAGTTAAGGATGGTGAATTTAAAAGTGGAGTGTCACTAAATGTGTCAAAGACAAGCCCCCCTCCTAACCCGCAGGGGTTCTCACAGCGACCCTGCACACAGCCCCTTCCAGGAAAACATACCACGAGAAACCTTCAGGGTTAGAAATACTTTATCTCTCTTAATAGGTAAAAATACATTTCAAGTCACAACGTTGCAACTCCCACAGCACCGTTCAGCCGCAGTCAGTAACTCCTGCCCTTGCTCAGCCCTGGGGAACTGGATCCCACAGACTGCAAAAAAAGGCTTCTGAGGTCGTGGGGAGAATCACAGCAAAACCCAAAGAGAAAGAAACCTCGGTATACCTAAAGCTCCATATCCATTTCTGCATTTAATACTGACATGGATCCCAAAGATACCATAAAGAAAATACATCACACACTGAAAAAAAAATAAAAAAAACAATGGACAACATAGCATTGAAAAGACATTCTCCAGCATGTAAGTATATAGATATATATCCCATATCACATTTAAACACTTAGTCACGTGTTCTTGTGGTCTCTTGCATAATAGTATGTGCTGCTAAGATGCTTTAATTATTCCAAGCCAGCAACAGTCACATTCCAGAAGGAAATGAAATTTCAGCTGCTGTGCAATCACTACTGCAAGGCTCAGTGTTGTCTGTAATGAAACATTCGTGGAGGATTTCTGTAGTAAGTTCTGTGGAGACAGGGAATTCCAAAGCGAGTTACAGTAAAAATTCAGGTTTATGTTCTCCTTTTCTAGAAAATTGTGAATGCCTGGGTGTGTGTAAAATTTGCAGTCGAGACAAAAAGCATCTGCAGCCAGATCACAAAACTGAACATAACTGAAGCAAATACACGTGGAATTCAAAGGCCTGAGGAGCACTTTGGCACATGTCAAATAGCCAACACATTTGTTCTTTCACTGAAGGGCATTTACTCCTCTATCATATGAATGATTATTATTTATTCAAAAATGTTCCAAAAGACTTTTCCACTCTTCTTTGCACAGCAGCTTAAACAAGGACAGAGACTTTTTTTCTAGATTACAATTTGTAAAATACTTTAAACTTTCATTTTCTTTTGTAAGGAAGCAGTACTGTAATGCCAGTATTTTCAGATGTTCATGGAGAAATCTGATACTTGTTATTAATATATTTTCTTTGTTAAATACTTACTTCAAAATACCCCTTATATCAGGCACAAACCCAAGAGTGTGAATTTCTCTTCACAGCCTTAGAAAATGAAAACTTTTTACTAGGACCTAGATGAACTAGCTGAGCTAAAACCCTGTTACTACGCTCTTCTGACACATTACTCATTAGTAACAAAATATCTTTTACTTTCTATTAAGATTTATTACTTTAATAATAAAGCATTTTATTCTGCTCTCGTCTCGAACGCAATACAGCAAGTCCAGCATAAGCTGTGAGCTCATGTGAATGAGAAAATTCCTATTTTGAGAGAGAACTTTTAAGCCTTCAGTCACTTTGCCTGAGCTGTCACCAGCAGCCACTGAGCCTTTCCTGTCCTGTGAGGGCCCTGCCACTGCAGCCCAGGCCCAGAATATTTCCTCTATACTGCAGGAAAGGCAAGAATGACTTCATTTAAATAAGTAAGGGTAAAAGCTAAGGGTAAACAAAGCCTTTGTGCTGCTTTCTGAGAGCTGGGTGTCTTTACTGATAGAGATTTGTGCCTGGAGCACCTGTGTGTCAGGGAACAACTGCACAGTTTCCAAAGCAAAAGCCTGGAATGGGAGAAATGCCTGTGGTACTTCTGCTGGGGGCTGGAAGAATGGGCACAGCTCTGCCCTCGGCTGCTGCTGGTTGATGGAATCCCCAGGTACTGAGAAACTGTCACTTCTAAGAAAGGATGAAGCTGTTTAAGAAAAAAATCAATGTCTGGCTTCATCAGAGAATTGTTGGAAGTAAATGTCTGGCTGAGAGGGTGACTCTCAGCACACAGGTACACGAAGAAATAGAGAAACAGAGCTTTGCTTTAGCATGTGCTGCCCACTGGCAGCAGTGCTGACAGTGTTGAGGCCCATTCACAGCCCAAGGAAACAAGAAAACACACTGGCCTTGAGGGGGTTTGGTTTTGGGTTTTTGAACCAACAATAAGGTATTTCTTCTGTTACAAAAGCCTCAGAATATTATTTAGAAGCTGGCAATCCCAAACCAATCAGCAGGAGAGTAGACTAGAGTTCCATGGTGCCAAAAGATTCAAAAACAGGCATCCCTTTGCCCACTTCCCACTCAGAAAGAAGCAAGTAACATTCCCACACTTGAATTTGAATGATCTTGTGCCATCATCAGTTGCAAGTAAGAATTGGCTCCTTGTTTTCAGAAGTGTTTCAGAAGACCTCAGTGACAGGCAGGAGTTCACTACATTAAATTAGGTGCTCCCAGGTCCTCAGAAGGTCTATTGACACCAGGTGTTCCCAGCCTGTGCTCTCCAAAGAAACTGGTGTTTGCCCAACTGTCCAACACAGTCTTGCAAAAAGCTGTTACAGCACGACTTGCATCAGCTTCCACCAAATGAACAGATAAATGTAGGTGGGACTTCACCTTCTGAATCCTGAGAACAGGAGGTGCCAGGAAGAGCAGGGAGGTCCCTCCTGGATGCAGAGGGCAGTGCTGATGGCACCCTAACTCACTGCCCTGAAGGGAAGTGCTCTGCACAGACCCTCACAGCCCTCACACAACCTGCACAGTGTGCTGGCACTAAAGAACACGTCACCAGCGGTGCCACAGCCGTGTCTACACAGTCTGAGTTACTCAGCTCTGAGTCAACTGAAGGACTAACATGGTATTTGTTGATCTGATGTCACTTAGGCACTTATTCACACGGAATGTCTGTCCAACATCGAAGTCACACGTTGCAAGGAGTGCAAGACGGTGAACATCAAAACTCACTGATAATTTTCCATTTAGAAGAGCCAATTTTTCTTAGGCCATCTCTCTAACAGATTCTGCCTTCTTGCTGTGAATCCTGTCCAGTTCCATCCATGCTGGCACTGGTAAGACAAGAAACATCTGTTCCCTCACGTATCTCAGCAAGCTCTGAGTTTCTGAAGAAATCTGGCTTGGAGCTGCCCAAGTGAGATGGTCCAACGTGAGGCCCCGGCTGTCACTCTCCAGCACAGTTACAGGGACACGGCCACCAGCACCCTTCCAGTTTGGTTCTTTGAGGATGGCAGGAAAAAAAAAGGTCTGCAAGTTCTCTGTAGAATTGTTCTCCATAGAATTGTTCTCCATATTGTCCAGGGAAAAAGACAAAGCTGCACAGCAGTGCTCTGATATCCTTCTGGCCTGCAGGATGAGGAGGATCACGGCTCAGTAAACACTGACATCCGAGGCAGGCACTCAGCTCCTTGCAGATGTCACATGTGACCCTGTGGTTCCAGCCTGTCTGTGACATTCCTGCTGCCAGAAGCTCCGGACACCCAAACACAGCACAGTCTGTCTCAGCAGCACTAAGGCAAATGCTCCTCGGGATCACCCCTGCAGTGCTTCACTCTGAGCACTGCTTTCACTTCACATCTACAAACGAGGGCCTGACACTCCCTGACAGACCAGGTAAAACAAACCTGTTGATGCTGACTCTTTTACTACATTTTCAGGCACTTAGTTATTATTTAAATCCATTAGCTAACAGGCAACTCATTTCTTTACATACAAGAGCTATGGCCAGGATGCACTTCCAGGTACCAGGAAGAACTGAAAGACAGCTGGTTCTGCCCTGTTCCTCCCTCAGTAAATTCAGCAACTTTCTTGACACAAGGCCCAGCTCCAACAGGCATTAACTAATACAAATACAAAACACCAGTCCTGATTCAAGTCACCTGCAGAATGTCTGTGGACAAACAGCTAAAAAAATTCTGTCATGTACAACACTGCTTAATATCACATAAGTCTGAGACTTCACTCTTATTCAGGAGTTTTCCAGTCTCTATAATTCAATTTATTCCTATCCCTGTAGGACCAGTGCTCTAAAAAGCACTCAAGAGTGACAACAGTTCTGGCTCTTCTCCCAAAGTTTTAGATCTGCTCTGTATGATCCTAAAATGTACTTAAACTACTACTTATAGAAAAATCCTCACAGTCCCACTATTTTATATTCTATCCTAAGTGTAAAACCTCTTTTTTTAAACCAACTACATTCTTCTAAAACAGTAAGCGCACAGTGACAGGCATTTTAAACAAGTACTTCTTATTTATTCACAATTTAGATAAAGTTTAAGGAAAGACAAAAGAAATACAAAGGACAACATTAAAATGAAAAGGAATTTTAGTGACTGAAGTGAGTTTCTACAGCCAGTGCTCTCCATACAATTCCAAGTATTATCCAAACACTGCAGATGCAGATTTCAAATAAAATCCCATTCCAAACCGCTATGACTACTCCCTTTGAAAATTAGACTGGGAGTGGAAGTTAGCCACCTTTATCTAGGAGTACACAAACCAGAAATCCTTTCAGTTTTGCCTTAAAGCCACATTTATCTTTTACAAGATGGAATCTGCAATACAATTTCAAGCAGCATTTTTCGTTTTGTCTGAGCTCTGCCATAAAAAAAGTCAACCTTCTGTGTAACAAACCAGCCTTTGATCTTGCTCGTGGACTATCTCAGAGCAGACTCACACTTGCAGCTTGGAGGTATCCTTGGAGATACTGCAACGCTTCTGCGTTCAGGCTGGTGCTCAGCATGGACAGAACCTGAAAGCACAGGACAGAGCAGAGGGGTCAGTGATACTCAGCCCACTGCCACACCCTGCTAATACACCTGATACAAGGTCAGACACTGAGAGCAGCAGTTACCCCTGGTGAAAGCAGCTCATCTCTCAGGCATTGCTAAAATCTTGAACAAAACAAAGATACCCATAGGGCGAGGGAGTTAACTGTGCACTCCACTTGTCTGATTTTACATGAGCTGCCTGAATTTCCTGAGTACATGCAATTGAATTAGAGACAAGCATTAGTTATAAGCCATCAAGTGGGTAAACTTTCATTTTAGAAATGGCATATTTAAGCTTACTGCTAAACTAAGTGCTGTGAAAATAAGGCCTTTCTAAGGTTACTAAGAAAAACAACTCACAAAAGCTATGTTCCAATGAAGAATAAGACACAGCAAGATCTTGCATTCTGGTTATGACCCACTTCATTTTGCTGATTATCAAACAATAGCAAAGAGACCCATTCTCACAGGGGCATTCCTTCTCTGCTGAATGCAGCATCAGGATGCAAGTGCACGAGTCACCTACCCTGCCTGGGCACGCTGTAGACAGTTTGTGAAGAGACTGTGCCAGATGGATTCTAGGATTGTTCACCATTTGACCTACAGGATCGTGCTCTTTTTTCCCAGCAAAGGCTAGCTGGGAGAATGCAGTCTGGTAGCCTGGAGTATCCTCGATGTCAATGAAGTGTTCCTCGTCAGGGATTGTGTCATCCTCAGGCAGCTCGAAGAGGCCAATGAGGGCCTGCAGCAAAGGAATCCTGGGTGTAGAGAGGGGAGGGGAACACTGGAGCACTTAAAATATGTTAGGACAGGCTGTATTTTACAAGAATGCTCCAAATTACTTGGAACCCTTTATAATTTAGCCTTTGCAGGTACTTCCTTAGCTACTGGAAGTGTAAATGTCCAAGGTAAGCTGGACTAGAACTGTAGATCTGTGTACTTTACAGGCACAAGGGAGGTGTTTATACTAATAGCATGAGCAATGTATTATCAGGGCAAATATTTATCAGGTCAAGTTGTCATGAAACATATCTAAGGAAAGCAATTCTTTCCCAGATTACAACTTTCCCCTAAGTACATTAAAAAAAAAGTTTTAGTCCAGGGATCCTGGACTGGATCCAGTTTTGGTCATTATATTCAGACTTCCTGATATCCTAGACTGCTGGACTGGCTTACAATCTTCCCAGATAGCTTTCCCCAAAATTGCACTCTCAAGCTAAGATATTACAATCTCTCTGTCAGGTTGTGAGTATTTCTCAGGTCTCCTGACAGGAACAGTTACAAGTCAAAACTGGGTCTAGCTTTTCAGAAAGAACACAAGCTGAAAGAAAGTAGTGTACTTCCTTAAATGGAGCTCTAGCCAGCCAAATCCATGCTATCCCCATCAAAAACATCTCAAACCAGTTCTGGCATCTACTTTGAAAACACACTTTCACTTGTGTGGTATGAAAAGCCTAAAACTCAGCCTCACAACAACAGTGGGCTTGAAGAAATCACAACAGAGTTTATTTGAAGGATCTGTTTTGGTGAAAGCTCATATTTCCAAAAACTCCAAGAGCCTCACCAGCAGAACCTGAAGAAGTGTGGTACCTACCACAGCTTGGTGTACTCTGTGTCCATCATGGGAGGACATTCTGTTAATATTTTTGTAATGCCAACAGCACAGATTTTCTTTTCAACTTGTCCAGACACTTTCTGGATTTCAGGAATTATAATTTTCTCCAAAACCATTCCAAACATCCTATTATGAAATTGAGAGAAAAAGTATTAGAAAGCCTTATCAGCCTCATGGTGAAAGAAGAAAACCAGAAACAATATGAATCGCTGGGAAACAGAGAATATAAGATAATTTGTTAAGATGCTGCCCTGTTGCAGTAGACATTTGCACATACAACCTTTTTACAAATGATAAAGACTTTTTATGACCTGCTTAGGAGATCAGTAACTTGAACTATCAATGAGGAACTGTGGGCAGAAAATAAGAAAACTTGCTAGACAAATAAATGAACCACAAAAGGAGAAACATCTGGCACAAATTAGTGACAAACATAGTTTGCCAGTTCGGCTAAAGAGACAACTCCTTCCTACTTCAAAGATAAAAATTACACAGCAGTCTTAAATACAACCCAAACAAACAAAACATACTAACTTTGGCTGTATGCTGTCAAATATCTCCTGCAGAGCTAATGCCCCATATCTTATGCAATACAAGTTAATGAAGACGAGAAAACCTGTAACGAGAAAAAGCTCAAATTAAAACTCAACATGAAAACAAAAGAATAGCTTTAGAGTCAGCAGCAAAATACATTCTAACAAGTTTTTCAAGGGGATAGAAACTGCAGCCTTTATAAATGTTCACTTCTAGTGAAGTACATAAACTTGCTGCCTTGAAGTTGGCCTAAAAACTGCTGATCTTCTCATGTATCACAACACTTAAAATGTTAAACACTGAAAGCATTGCTTTCATTTTGTTTGTGGAAGACCATTGTGAGCAACCTTGTAATTCTTGCTCCTATCAGGGGCATTAACCAGATTTTACAGGATTAAGTAATCGACATTGTCATACTGATGAAAATATTTTAATGATATTATCTCTACACAAATTACACAATCTTCTTCTCTGTGTATTTCAGTAATTGGTCGCAGCTTTGCCAGTTTAACGTAAAACCTTTATAAATAACTTTAGTCATTTAAGGCAAAAAATGACACAAAAGCATGGAGTATTTCCCAGTACTAACAGAAACTCCACACAACAGTATTGCTGTGCTGTGTGAGAGGGAAAGTTTGCTGCTATTAGTTGGAGATTAAATGGACACACTTTCAAATAATTAACACCATCACACAACACTAGCAAAGGAAGAGGACTACACAAGTCTTGTCCCTTATTTTAGTTCCATTATCTCCATTTTCATGAAATAAGTGTCACCTGCTGTGGCGACTGCCCCTTATGCCCCGCCCCTTGATTATAGAAATAATTTGGAGCAAGTCCCTGGAGTCACCAGAACCCCTCCATCCATGTACCCACAGGACACTTGATCCATGCAGCTGCACACTCCAAACTGCTGGTGTCACACTGCAGCTTTTCAGAGCCAGGAACTTACTTTTGATAAACTTTGTCGTTTTGGAATTTTGAAGTCTTTGGAATAACAAAATGAAGATCTGTTTCCTGTACTGGTCAACTGATTCACTGGAAATTTAAAAGAACAGTTATTCAATTCACACTAGATTTTACTGACGTCACTTCACAAAAAAAAATTGCATAAAATTGTTCAAATCTATTTGACTGATAAATGTGACATTTTTGGTTGTGAAGATTAACATTTGGCATGATTGTACACTTCATAAATAAAGTCTACAGAAGTTAGTTTTGAATATAATTTGAACTCATACTCACGGAGGCATATGCTCGATGATACTGTTTAAAAGATAAAAGCCTTGATGATCATTAGCTTTAGAGGCAATCAACTTCTGGAACACACCTAACAACCCAGGCTGCAGGAAAAGCAAATATAAGACTTTAGACAACTGTTCTTCATATGTGATCTACCAGAAAGTTGGCCCTCACTATCTAAGACATACACCAAGGCAAAGGCGTTCATAACCTAAACCAGGATTCTGTCTCTGCAGTTGAGGACAAGGAAGACACATTTTGGCTCCTTCTCACTCACTCTTCTCAAGACTGCTCTGAACAGATCCCCTGAGAGTTCTCATGGTCCACACGAAGCAAAGACAAGAAAATTGTGCAAACTTATCTGCTTGCAAAAACTAAGTGCAGGAATTTTCCATCCCAGCTGACAGAAGCAGGACAGCCCAGGATTCATCTTACCCACGTAACGTAAAAGCACCCAAAAAGCTGCATTCAGAGCGTTTGTCTTTCTACGTGAGCACCACTAATGTAAAGTACAAGCCCAAACTGTGCACGAGTCCAGCTGCTGACTGAAGCACAGCTCCTCCCAGCTGCCACCCTCCCACCCCCGTGGGGAGGCAGGGGACGCACGATCTTGTCGGCGGCGGCGCTGGCGATGGTGCTGGCCCCCCGCTCCAGGTACGCCTGCAGCAGCCGCACCAGCGGAGGGATGTTCCCTGTCCTCTCCCAGAGCACTGGCTGGAGCAGGTGAGGAAACAGTGCCATGTAGGATGATGGGATTTCATTTTTATGCATTTCCAGAAGTAAGGACATCACTTGGAACACATACGGAATGAACTCTGGAAGAGAAACGACGACATTTACCGAGTCAGACAACACGGTCACTGTCACTTCCCAGGAACCACATAGCTACTGACTGAACCCACAATAATATGATATTAACATGAGGATTCCAGCAAATAAAACACTGGAGAGATGTATCACTTCCCAAATTTAATTATTCAAAAAACTGGCAAGCATTGTATATATTCACTTTCTATTTCCTCTACCTATTAATGCTTCAGAACACAGAAAACAAACCACTAGAAACAAGGCAATATAATTAAGTAGAATAATAAGAGGCTTCGGAGTAGTGATGGCTAGATATTTTAAAACCACAATTTGATTCAAAAATAAGTGAATGCTGTTGATGGACCCTACGGAACAACCCAAACGCTTTCGGACTGTGAAAGTGCTGTGTCCTCCCCTGGACCTTCTGTGCTACAAAAAAAATCCTGCCATGAGGTAAATCCCAGCAAGCAAGTGCAGTAAGAGAGCCCAGGCACTCCCTGCTGCCATTACCTTGCACATCATTCTGCAGGATCTCAGTGAACACCAGGAACAAGGCCTCCTCAAAGCTCCCCACGGCCTCCGGGTTCGCCTTGCACGTTATCCTGATCGACAGGCAGATGGACTCAAACATGTAATGGTTAAAGTGGGGCTTGCTGGGATTCTGAAAGCAAGTTATAAACACACAAATCAAACCAAACTTCCAACTAAAGTCACTTACTTGGCTAAATGTATTTTTTAGTCCGACTGAAGTCTAAAGCAGCATTTGGAAATAAGGATACTTATAACTGCTTTATTAATATGCTTGTGACGTTAATTGCAGAGATAAAAGCAAATGTAAAAACCTTCAGAGCATAAAGGAGAGCTTTTTTAATCAATATTTTAAAAACATGTGTTTTTCAGAAGCTCTATATAAATTAGCAAACAGTTAAAATATCACAAAACAAAAACTGGAAAAAAATTATTTTTCAATCCTCTAAGTGATCCTCCAATCAATTCTGTATTGAACACTTCTTATATGCTGCAGCTGAGTTTAAACTATACAGAGAAGTCATTTTTTGGACAGTTGATGAAGGCACTCTAAGGCATTCCCTAATGTTAATGGTTAAGAATTAGCCCAGCCTTAATAAAAAACTAAGAGATTTTTACCCACCAAAACCAGGAGGGCAATTTATTTAATTTAATCCCACATTTCAATGCCAATATTTAATATTAGCTTCAGAAGTTTCACCGGTAAAGAATAACAGAGTTGTGAGAAAAACAGATTATTGCAATGGTGGCCTGTGCACAAGCAAACATTCATACCACCACAAACTAGCATTACAGAGTGAGTTCATATTCTGCTTCCAAATTTCACATGAGAGCAGGGGACGATGATTCGAAAGTATGTCCCGAAAGGAAGGCAGTACCTCACTGGAAGACTGTTCCAACTTAGTTTAGTCAGAAAATACTGAACTCCTTACAGTATTCTAACAGAACACCACCAACAAGGTATACATAAGTCTTCAGTAAGACTGCTCTAAAACACAAAAGGTGACCCTTTTGTTCTGTTTCTTTACCTTACTGACAGCCAGCAGTTTCTGTGTGAGCTGTGTGATGACAGAAGGGATGTATGGAATTATGGATTCCTGTAGCAGAGAAAAACTCCTCATGATGGCTGCAAATAAATGGAAAGTATTATCCTCTGAAGACAAAATACACTTCTGCCATCCATCATATGCCTAAATCCTTTACCTTTTACTGTTAAATAGGATCTCTAGGAATTGGGTACAGTAAGAAAGAGGAACTGCTGCAAGAACAATCAATCTATAACCACGACAAAGGATAAAACAAAGCCTCATTATTCCCATTCCACAGACTGAACACAGAAGATTAAGCAACTTTGCCAAGACCTTCACCTATCCTGGGCGAGTCTCAGATCTCAGCATCCAGTGAGCCATGACCAGCTCTGTGCTCTCACTATCCATGACCAGATCCCCTCATGACACTGCCCAGGTAGCTATCCTGACTACAGAGACTACCACTTGAGGAATAATTTACCACAATACCATTATGTTTAGTATTTCTCTTTGGTACCATAAATTTAGTCAAAGATGACTTGATACAGCCTGGTGCGTAACTGCAGGCTGCGTGGACCTCCTCAGCATGTCTGCATAAATTAGGTTGTGCAAATAAAAGTGTCAGGAGCCTATGACTATAAGCCCTTGCCTCAAGTTAACAAAGTTATTCTTATATTGCAGAACTCCCAAGGCATTTACCTTTCATAATGTATTCATTTTCAGAGGAGCCAGGAAGCGTCAGCGCTTTGAAAAGGTTTGTTAACAGCACTTCTACAAACGGTGCCATTTCTGCAGCTGTAATGCTGTGAAGGCAAACAGCTCTTTAATGATGAAAGACAGCCACAAACTTCAATTTGTGATTGAATATACTGTAATATGCTGTATAATACTGTAATACCACTAAATGAAAGATCCCCTACAGACATTTTTCACCCTTAATGCACAAAACCTATGTAGCAGTGACTGTATTTCTGCTTGAAAACTTACAGGGTAGTATTATTTGTCCCCCTCATGGTAAACAGTCTTTCAAGAGCATGGGCTGCATAAGTATGCACCACAATACTTTCTGCTTGGAGGTGATTGATTAGGAGAGGAATAGACACCAGCAGTTGTTCCTTCGGTACCTACAAAAATATAGCAACAAATTGTACATATGTTAAAAAATACAGATGGTCCAACACCGGAGCACAACTGAGCCCGTCAGTGACACACAGAGCTTGGCAGAGGCAGGAATCTTGGAAGGCTCCTCCAGTGCTACATCACACCTTGACAACCAGGAGGTGCCTGTTTCTCTCATCACTTTCCCAATGGTGCATTTCATTAACAGTAAGTGCAGGTATTCCTAAGGGATATTTCCCTTCCCATTTTACTTTGCCCTTAACGGGCACTTGAAGAATATCAAGCTTTAAAAAAAAGAAAATCATGGGTATTTCAAAAGAAATTAATAAAGGTGATCTAAAATTTAGAAATAATAGTCAATATATTTTCTTACTGCACCTCACAAATCAGAAAAGGTAAAGGACTAAGCTGCTGTGCTCTTTACCATCCACTGCAATGATAGGAGCAACTGAGCATATTTAGACTCACACTGACTTGAAAAAGTCTCAGTGTGTCAGAACTAAGCAGATAAGATGTTCAGTGTTCCCACAGCATATGGAGAGCATATAGACTACATGTTAATTGGATATTTATAACAATATCATTTACTTTCTAAACTAAAAATTCAGCATGAAGTGCTATATATGACTATCAAACACCTGTTGAATTAACATATGGCCAAGTGTGATAAATTAGGCTTGGCAAGTATAAAGTAACAAACTACAGTATGTTTTTACCACAAGAGTAGAAGAAAAACTTACTTGGTTTCTAAATATCATGATATATTTGATACCATCTGCTTTTAGCACAGGGAATTCATTCACTGAAATAGAAAAACATGCAAACTTTGTTGATACTTTTCATACAAATGTGATTACTGAACATATATATAGAGGTGGCATTAAGTCATCATTTTCCTCTTCAAAAATAGTACAGACAATGTTTTTCTATGTTGTTTAGTTCCTGCATTTCTGTATGGGCACTGTTAGAATATCAGTTTTGGTACAAATCACACCCCAGTACCATTAAGAGTAGGGTCCAACTCTTTCAGATGAAATTTCCCCTCCTGGCCCCAAGTTTAAAAGCCCCCAACTACACATTTTGAGACAACTCACTATGTTTTGAATACAGTAAGATAATTGTTGAAGCATAAAATAAACCATTTGCCTTAAATCTGGACATGCATAACCTCACATAACCCTGAGCCAAGTGTTAACAGCCTCTGCCTTGGAGATCAGGCTGATACAGGAGTGCTTGAAACTTCAGGAACAGTGGTCACTGTCAAGGTTCTGATATGTCACAAAAATACCATATCAAAATTAACATTAACTTACCAGTAGCAGACTTTAAATCAGGCTGAATGTGATTCACAAAGAATTCTGTCAGATTAACAAGTTCATTGGCTTGGGTTATTCCATGCTGGAAAAACAAAAAACAAACCAATTCTATTTTTAGATGCTGATATCCAATTAATTTTCTTACTCATTTTTATGTGCTTTTAATAAAAGGAATCTAAAGCATGCATGCACATGAGGAGATTGTTGAAACTGCATCTTTTGACAGAGTCATCCAGTTTCTTTTGCTTAATGTTTTCAGTGTCTTGATTTCAGCTGTAGCACTTCTGAGGTTCAAAGTTACCAGTTCTGAGTTGAGCAATAATACCACATAACAATAATATGCAGCCAAAATTTTAGATCAACAACACCAGTATCTTAGTACTTCTTTTTGTGACAGGCTTTTTAAAAAGGGGAAGTTTAGGACTCAAAGTCCAATTGTGAATTAGAGCAGCAAAATAATGACCACTTAGTTTTCTCTTAGAAAAAATGCAATGTATTTTTAAACCAAGATTTTCAGATGGCTATTTTCCAATGAAGTGTTCTAGGTGATCTTATCCCACATTTACCACTAAATAGCACAGAAAAGGATGCACAACTTTGCAGTTTCCCAGCTGCTAGCAGGCTGATTCCCAGTACACATCACTGTTAATAACTACTGCTGGGCAGCAGAATACACCTGGCTTCAGGAAAAGACTGAGAACCTTCAGCACAATTGCATAAAACACTGTACAGTGTGTTTTACTGTGTCTTACAAAGCCACTGAGCTCTGAACTGTGAGACAGCCTTCAAAATATGTATATCAAAATTTGTTCTGCAGGACATTTGATACAATGCTCCTGTTTCCAGATACAGGTGTGGCTTTTCAGTGTCTCCAGGTGATTAGTTGCTTTCTCCCCAAAAAGTAATGAGATTCATTTCCAGCCATCATTACCACTCACATGCCATCTCAAGTAACAGGAAACATTGGGAAATATCATGACAAGAACTCAAGAGCACCTAAATTCCTTCTAATCTGCTGAACTCTTATGATCATCTTCTATAAAGCTCTATTTGCCTTCCATGGCTTTCAGATTCTGGCTCGGGGTTGGCAGAGCTGAGAGGTTCCAGACTCGAGCCAGTTTTGTTTCTCTGTCTGGCTGATCCCACGTGGTTGTCAGGCCTGCCCACAGTCACACCAGGGGCTGACTGTGCCCTGCCTTCCTGAAGGTCAGATACCACCACATTACCAACTGGCACGGGATTATATGATGGACAGCTTTTAATTCATCAACATCACCCACTGACCAGGCAGTTACTCTCATTCTGAAGCAGCTTAAAATGAACTGTAGGCTTCATCTACACCATGATATCTGAATGTGTACAGATTACAATGACGAGAATGTAAAAGTACCTTCTGTGTTTGAGCTTTGGATGCCAAAGACGTAACAAGGTAAATAGCTGCATCTTTGTGCTTCCAGTTAACAGATGGATTCTTTGCATATTCTTGCAGCATAGAATTAACATATCCAGAAAAGATCCCTGTCACAGGTCCTTCAAAAAATTTGCACAAGCCTCTGACCAGATCACAAGCTGCTCTGCGCCTGGTGTCAATATCTGCATGAGAACCAAAGACTCTTTGGACACGGGAAAGCACGCAGCTTTTCATGTTAATAAACACAGTAATCAAAATATTAACAGACAGCTTCTCAAATTACAGTCACAGCCCATGTTAATTATTGCAGCCCTCCCCACTGATGTGTACACACACACCGAAGTCTTTACTCCCTGTCCCAAGAGGACTGTTTGCACACCCAGAACAGACACCCAGCCATGTGTTCACAGCTCCCCTGCCCTGAGCAGGGCACCCAGGCTCAGGGGATGCTGCTGCCCTGGCACCCTGCACCCAAGTGTGCTGGGTTTAGCTGGGAGGGAGTTAATTTTCTCCCAAGCAGTCCATATGGTGCTGTGTTCTGTACCAGTGACTAAAGCTGTTGGTAACGCCCAGTGTTTTGGCTGCTGCTGAATTGCTCTGTCACAGTGTCAAGGCTTCCTCTTCCTCCTGCTCTGCCTTCCCAGCTCATAGTCTGGGGCAGGCAAGCAGGTGGGAGGGGACCCAACCTGGGTAGCTGATCCAAGCTGACCAGAGGGATACTCCATGCCATATAATGACATGCCCAGCAATAAAAACTGAGGGGAGAGGGTTTTGGGAGAGGTAGCTGTTGCTCAGAGCCAGGCTGGGCAAATGTCTGCTTGTGGGTGGTGGTGAGTCATTGACTTCTCTCCTCTTTTCTTCCTCTTTCTTTCACTAGAACTGTCTTTATCCATCAGTCTTCTCACTTCTGCTCATCCCACTGTAGCAGGGTGGAGCACGAGCCAGCTGCTGGCCCCCCACACCTGTAAGGACATTTTTGTAAAAGAAACCCAAATGCCAAAAACAAGCAAACAAAAACTCTGTTTCAAGAGAGGAAAAAAAAAAAGGTTTTGTGGCCTTTCATTCAATTTAGTGACAGAAAAAACAGAAAGAAAGCCAGTCAATTCAAATGCAATAGAGGATATTTAAAAAGTAATCTCTGAAGAACACAAATACTTCCTACCTCAATTCTGTTTCAAAGCAGAAGGAGCTAACAAATAAAAGCTTTACAAATACCTAAAAGGCAGACAATACTGGATAAGAATGATAAAATATTTTCTTGAAAAAAGTTCAAAAACATATTCCTTGAGTTTTGTCCTCTACTCACGATCCAAATAAGGAAAAAGCCCTATAAAAACACTGTTCAAAACAAAGACACTGTGACAGGCATATCGTGACAGCAGACTTGATCCCAGACTGGAGAAAATCTCTTGGGGGGGTGGTGTGTGGAAGCCTTCTCAATTTCAAAATAAAGTTATAAAAGCTTCAGTAAATATTTAAAGACCAAGTATTCTTAGTATAAATCTGTGGATTACCAGATCCTTCCAAATCCCTTCTTATATATTCTTCAGAATTATCTTCAAATGCTTCTTCATCAGCCGCTGAAAATATAAAATACATAGAAGTTTAAATGCTGAGGTCTCTGGTTTTTATGTAAAAAGGTGTATCATCATCAACTTGCTAGTCTTTCCAAGGACTGTTCTGTAACATTAACACAAATTAATCAGAAATATCCAGCCAGACTAGACTGTTAAGCTTGTTCCTGTCCCACAAATTCTTTCATACTCATGAGCCAATGTACTGATTTTTTTTAAAAAACCAAACCCAAAACCTCTAAGACATATTCAACACCAGGTGTATTTAAAAAGGCTTCCAGAGTAACAGACTTAAGAGAGAGCAGCTCCTTATCACTGCAATACACCTTCACTGCATTTTAAATACTAGGATCAATATGAGCCCATCCAAACCTGGAGAACTAGACATTACAAGGCCTGATATTCCTGCCTGTTTAGGCTCCTTGAATTATTCTGATACTCACTTTAAGCATGGAAATTTATTGCTGGCACATGACCTAGACTTCCTACACTGGGATTTCAACATGAAAAATTAGGTATATTTATACAAGTCTACAAACCCCACAGGACACTCTGCTGCATAAACTTGGGTTTGAATCCATCACTAAAGTACACAAGAGGGAATCCTCGATTCTTAGTCCTGCAGAGCAACTTGTCATTTTGGTTGTGCTCTCGAAAACTTAAGTCTCCAAAAGTTACCTCTAAATTCCATATTGGGAACAATAACTTTTTCACAGATGCTTGTCAATGTATTCTGGTCTTCAAACAGATGCTTGTAATGTGGTCTTTCACAAACTGAGGCCAGAAACTGGATTGCATTACTGACCAGCTGCAGCACCACAAACAGAACACAAAGCTTTAGCATGACTGATCAATTTATAATTCATTATCAAACTTGACAAGATCAGCTTATAACAACTCACCAAGTCATATTTCACCTCCTGGCCTGTCGTGACTAACAGATTCCAGATTGCTGTTACAAAACGTGGCAGGTAGGGCTGGAATTCTTCATCATATTTTTGAGCATATAAAGCAGCATTATCACAAATCTGTGATTTCAAGAGCTCCAGTAATCCAGCTTCCTCTTCATCCTCACATAAAACAAAACTAAGAACTTAAACATCCAAACTTCAACATTACTTCAACATTAAAAGTATCCATATATTTAAAGGGATTTTATGGTGTTCTAAACAGGTGAAAGAAATCCCTTTCATGTACCTAAAATTACTGTATTTTGCTGGTCTGTACCCCAACTGCTCTCCAAGTCATAAATCATACCTACATTTCAAATCAAGGTACTATGCACTTTAAAACATTCAGACCCAATAATTTACATGAAATTAATTGACAAATGTAATAGGAAAAAGACAACACAAGGCATTGAAAAAACATGCTTAGAAGACGTTATATTGTGATACTTTAAATTGGAACAGTTGTAGTTCCCTGCCCTTCCCCAGATCAGCACAGATGTTTGTGGAACCACTAAGTGAATTAGGATATTGAGCTGGAGTTAAAAATCATCCCAATCAAACAACACCCCAGTTCTGTGTGCCCCTTTCCCCTCCACCCCCACCTTTCAGCTTTACCATCTCTCCCAGTTCAGCTGCACCAGTGTCTGTGCTGGGAGCAGGCAGGAGAGAAGAGCAGCAAAGTTTCTTTTAGCAGGTAATAAAGCACAAGATACCCTTCACATGCCTCCCTATGTGCTGTCAAGAAATGTATAGATTTGTTTTGGCTCTGTCAAGTGGCAAACTACTGTGCTGTGTCTGGAAGACCAGCACTCAAAACGCAGAAAGCACGCACAAAAATAATTTGAGTTTCGATAACTTGGCATCATCTTTCACCAGGGAAATTACTAATTCTTAAGTCAGACAAAGATAGCAAATGCTAGAGCACTCAGGATGTCCTGCCCTCTGTGTTCAACTGGTTCAGGTTGTTTAGGATACCCTGTTTTCTAGAACACTGTGCATGAACCAGCTGAGGCACAGAAAACCTGAGCACTGTGATGCCAATGTTCAGGTCACTTCAGCAAATGTCCTCGAAAGGATCGACTCACTGGCAAGTATTTCTAATTTGATTTCTGTGCACAGCTGGGCTATACCTACAACTGACATACAGCTTCAAGAAGTGGATCTCAAATTCCTTAGACAACAGAGCAACTTCTCTTAAACCTCATTATAGCCATTCTACTCCCTTGTTTGCCCAACCAAGAAAACATTGCATTATTCAGAGTTAGACACAAGTTTGCAGCCAACTCTCTCCCCTACACAGAGGCAAACCAGGAGGTTTATGCAGTACTTACATCAGTCTGCAACAGTTTGTTATCTAAGGTTAAAAGACTATGAAAATTTGTCATCCATGTTTCCATGTTATCTTCAAAAAACTCTGGAAGATCCTGTGAAGGGAAAGCATAAATCTCCATTTTAATTTCTGACTGCACTGCTTAGATAACATACCTACACTGTAAGCAGTGCATCCACCTTATAACCTACTGAGGGACAATAATCTGAGGAAAACAATCTTCAAAGTGAAACACTACTCCCTCCTCCTCCCAGATGAAACCCCCCCCCCGGCAAACGCTCTGGAATTATTTCCAAATAAACTATTTGCTTGTACCCTAAACAGCTCATATTTTTATAACAAATGAACTTTATTGCCTCCTACTCTCTGAACAAGAGAGCACAAGTCCCTTTTAACTCCAGCTTGTTCTTTTGCCCCCTGTGGAAGCACAGCCTAAGGAATCCGGGCATGATCACACTTCACAGACTCATGTTCATGCTGAGACACTAAACAGATGTCACCTAGCAAAGGAGCTTTTTGCCATTTTCCATATAGCACATAGTTTAGATCTGATCCCAAACCCTAACACCCCACACTGCTCCCAGAATTACTTCCCACTGCAGCGGAGTTACTGCACGTAACAGCCTTTCAGCTACAGGACCAAGTTCCTGTCAGCACAGACACATTTATAAAGGAGCACAGTGAGTACAAACTCAGGCATTTGACTCCTGCCTCTCCCAGCTCCTATTCAGGGCCCCCATACAACCCCTCCTTGTGGTGACACCAGCTCAGACTCCTCTAAACTTGTGTTTAGATAGGGCCAAGCTAACGTGTTAATTAACCCCGGCCTTCCTGTGCCCTTACTCCAGTGCTGATGCACTGTTGACTGTTATTTTTACCATAAAGCATGGCCTTAAAGGCTGCCTCAAATGAATTCTACAGTAGGAGCATAGCAACTTCATGAGATCAAAGCAAAACCATTAAAAAGAGATTCACCTGAAAATTTAAACTATAGAACAGCTTCGCAATTAGAATGAGAGAGGAAAAGAGAACCTTCAGGGCACTGGCATCATTTGCATGTGTGCTGCAAAGTTCAATAGTTGCCTAGAAAAAAATGCAAGATCCAGTCAAGTACAAAAACCACATCAACAAAAGATATTGAAGTGTCATGGGACTTTCTTGTTTGTTTAATCAAAAAATACAGTTATTTCTCCTCCCCTCATCAATCCTGTTAGGTCTCACTTCATGACTTCGGCTTGAACTTCATTAACAGCTTCAAAACAACTATTCTTGAGTTTTAATTTTACAGCCACCCACAAAAAGCAATTCAGAACATTAAACTTGTTTTAGAAATGATTCAACAAGAAATACCTTAAAGAGATTTGTCAAGGGTAAAGCAAAGGCATCAAGAACAAGTTTGATCTCTGTCCATAACTCATTTGACTTAAATTCGTGGCGGTACCTGACAAGTAAAACACATGAAAAACAGAATTCATATTTTACATTTATTACCAAATTAACCCACCCAGAATTATTTTGTTTGTGCTGAACTTCGAAACAAATACTGCCAAGTAAACAAGAACTAAACAACATAGTTCAAAACCATGCAAGGCGTACAATTTGACAAGCACTTAAAGGCGTATGCAGAAGTCACAACTTTGTCAATCCCCAGTGTTAAGTCTAACAGCTGAACAGAAGGTTTACAACCCATCCACAAACCCCCTTTTATTGCCAGCACCTTTTAAACAGAGAGTGAGCGGTGCGAAGGACCCCGTTGATGACGTGGAAATCCCCGCTCTGGAAGCGATTCACCATCTCTGTCAGCAGGTCTGGCCACTTCTGAGGAAAGTCTTCCCGACCAATAATACTGATGGCATCACTTAACTGCAAAGGAAGCGCAGCTGTCACGTGGCAGAACAGCACGGGAATCACAGCAGTGCCAGCTGCTGCAAACATCCCAGGAAATGCTGCTTGTTCTTGTCAGATGCAAAAACCATTGGGTTAAATATCTACTACTTTTCACCACAAATACAAAACCCTCACTTTAAGTTCAATGTGTACACACGGTCTCACTTTCTAGAATTACTGTTCAACTGCCTAATGCTAGAACTTGCTATAAGATTATACAGTCATTATCTTAAAAAAATACTAAAATAGGTAAAAGTAGCTATAACGATATACTCCAAGTTATTTAGATCAGCATGAGCTCACTGGTAAGGGAACTGAGCTCTGCAAATAACCAAAGCCTCTAGACATGCTTTGAATACTCCCAGAGTCTCATGGATATAACCAGGAATTGGCATATTACCTGCTTTTGAATTTGTTCTGGGCTGCTAAGCATCAAGGGCACTATGTTGGCTTTAATGGCTATCCTGTCTGATTCACATATTTTGTTTGGTTCATCCTCAACCTAAAATGAAAACAATAATTAAGTCATGAGCATATTCAGTATACTCCAGGCAATGACTGATGATCAGCATTTTCAGTAACCAACTGCTTATACTGATTTATGTAACTATTACATTGCTGAAGAACCTAAGAACCAGACCTGTTAGAGACACTGCCTGCAATGAATCTGAAACAGCAGCACCTGAGAAAAGCTGAAAGAAATGATGTCTTCCTGTAAAACTTTGAAACAATTTCTTCTAACTGTCCTAGGGAAGCCCCAAGCAGGGAGGCAGGACTCACTGCTAGGCATTTAGAGAGATGAGGACAGAGGTGGTGGAGTGACCACCAACAGCAATTCCTCCTAAGGAATTACTGAGGAGATTTTTCAAAGAAATGAAACCTTTTTAAAAGAAATGAAAGGCAGCAGACAGTATGTATTCTGCACATACTTCAGAAATAAATTAAACCCAGCAAGGTCTTCCCTGGCTCCAGCAGTGCCCTGTATATCTGCCTCTCCAGGCTTGAACAAACTGAAGTCCTTGAATAGGCAAAACCCTTTTACTGAGCTCTGGATCAGTGAAGTTCAAGGCTGCGGAATTAAACCCCGTGATCGAGGCGAGCCAGGCCTACGGCTGCATTTTCTGTTCAGACAGCTGCTCCTGAAACAAAAGCTGCAACTTTGGACAACACAGTGTGCTTGAAGCCACAGAGCAATCGGAACAGCCCTCGGGATGCACTCCCTGCACAGCATCTCCACCTACTTCACAACAAAACCCCCATCCTGAATTACATCAGCAATCCATAAAAAGAAGCCACTTAAAACTTCTTCCATAACAGAACGTTATTTCTACCTAAAATACACCACAGAAGATGCAGTTTGGGAGAAATGACTAAGAACACAGTATCACAGCAAGAAAGTTCTAGAAATGTCACGGCAGACTGAATGTGCTCATGTTATCGAGCACAACCAGGCCCAGGACTGCTCTAGCTCCTCAGTGTTGGTGTGATGGGGAGGGCAGAAATCACATGCCAATTTGGAAATAGGTACCAGCTAAGATGTAATGATAAAATATTCCAGTTTCTCTGTAGTAAAGAGACATCTGCTATTTTTCAGACACATACAAACAGTACTTTCAGTGAAGTACAACCAGTATCAATTAAAACCTCTCATCACTCAAGAAGTTCAGCTCTCAGTGCAAGACTTTCTACCATTAAATAAATTTCATGAATGCTGAAAGCTCTGAATCAAAAACACTTCTGTCCTCTTCAAAACAAAGGATAAGAAGGGATTAAACAGCAATATTTCTATTTGATCACAACAAATACTTCCAAGTGTTAAACTGGCAGGGCACCAAAATAAACTGTCCCAGACAATTCTGTGCTGCAGCAGAGAAGAGAAGCTGGTAACATCACCTTGAGCTGCAGGGCTGGCTGGGGATGTTTGTAACACCCTGACCACAGACAGAGGCCCAATGGGCCAACTTGTGTGGAGAAACACTTCATAATCATTCCAGTTCAAACAATATTAGTCAGTTAAATGAGCTTTAAATATTGTGTTTCTGCAAAATACTCATATAACATTAGAGAAAAATATTTGTTCATCATTTTATCACCCAGCTCCAGTTTTGCTTTAACAGGATTGACTCCAACAGCCCAGGTTTTAGTCCCTTCTTACTAAGTTACACCTTGACTTTGTTCTCTTAACTCTGCCTTTCCCAGAGCACAGACACACACACTGCTCAGGGTCGCTGCAGAGTATCTTATTGTACCCTCAAGGGATGATCAACTACTCACTAGGATACCTACAATTCTCCAGTTCCTTTTAATGTAATTCTTGAACGTTACAGATGCACAAACTTTGATGACATTTTCCTGTGATTTCTCCAGCAGCGTTAAGAGTAACAACGGATAGTTCTGGCTTCCTTCCACGGACTCGAGGAACTTCTCAGCTGCAGGGGAATATAAGGGGGTCAGCAAAAGCTGCTTTCTCTAATGGGAGTCCTACCACTCCTCAGATGCCTGTTTAAAAGAACCAACACACAAACACTTCCCCAGAGCTTCACAGGAACAAGCCTGACAAGAGGTGCCACAGCTTCTCTGCTGCGGAGCCCTTCCACACTCCTGCCACCACCAGCAGCTCTCAGTTCCCTGCAGGATGGGGAAATATTGCCTCCTCACCACTTGAAAGCCAAGAGAAATAAATCTTGGCTTATTGTGAACAGCAGCGCTGTTTTAAATAACAATGGTACCAAAAGAAAAATCAAGAATACAGAAAAATAAAATCACAAAAAGCAAATAAATTTATTTATATCTCTCCTTCTTTAGGTTTTTTGGGGGGAGTTGTTTTAAAAGGATACCAAGAACTTCTGCAAAAAGGTTATTGTATAAACATCCACAGGTTGGCTACACACAGACAGAAGAGCCAAAAAGAAACTGAACTTTTTTGATCACTCGTGAGAATCACTTACCAGGACGCCTTATAGCAGGATCTGGATCTAGTGTTTTCTTTAGATACTCAGTTAAAGTTTGTAAATTGGCATCACTCAGCTCCATTTTGGCAGAACCTAAAACCCACAAGTAGTTTTGTTACAAGCAGAGATCAGAAAATCTGTGCTAAAGCTACACATGTAAAAGCAGATCCCACAGAGGCCACACGTCAGCTCTTTCTGATGACACCTCAGCAGCACAGTCCCAGCCAGTGAAGGAGCCCCTGTGCACCAGGCACAGGAGACATCCCACTCCTCCAGCTACAGGTAACTGCTGCAGCCTGGCTTAGGGACCCCAAACTCCAGAAGAGGCTCACACAGCCAGCAAACATGAACCAGCCAAAAGATCATCTCCTGCCCATTCAGGACATCAGGAATTTGGTCTGGCTTTTCAGAACTGCTGTCAGCCCCAGAAACCTGCTCCTGGTTGAAAAAGGTGAATAGTCCTGCCCTACATAATTGTAAATAAAACAATTCAAAGTGTATTGAAGAGTCGAGGTTTGTTTAAAAATCAAATACTCATTATCAAAGAAAAATGTCAGAAGAAAATACTTTTCTATAAAGAGACAAAAGACTGTGTAAAGCCAGAGCATCTGTCCCCCCCATAAAATTAGTTAAGACTAGGGTGGAAGTTAACTCAAATGCAATACTTATTACAGAGTGACTCTGTGCAGTAAGTCTATAGTGCTCCTCTCCAGTAATCCTCCCACACACATTCCCATGCATACCACAGTGATATACTTACTTCACAGCTTTAATTGGAATAATTAATATTACAGTAACACTCCAACAGCAAGTTGTGCTTCAGTGGACATGCTGTTGCTCAGGACATCACCATCAACCCTGCCTGTCCTTCCTGCCACCAGAATCACAGTTCACTGCCTACAGGTGTAACAAGGAAGCAAAGATTTCCAGTTTTCCTCTGGAGTGTCTGATTAGTAAGACTGACTGAAATTCACCTGTCCTGTTCTGGAGTTGGTTTATGCTCATTATCAGTGCAATACTGCAAAGGCAGTGAGCTTTACTGACAGTTTTTACATCAGCTTATAGAATTTAAAAAGACAATAACGGTATTCTCTTGATTTAAATGAATATTAATGAGGAATTCAGATCCCAATATATATTGTACAAAGTAAATATCCCCCTTGGGCGTCCTGCCTCCCCTGTTTCCCTTCCTTCTCGGGGTTTACTTGTCCATAGTCTTGTTCACCAATTCACATCCACCAGCATGTTTTGACCTGTTACCTACGTATGCTTATTTCCTTCTCTTCCTCTAGGTCTTAATGTTTGTTTTCCCCTACAAAACACGTTGGCTGTACTTTAGCTGGAGTGGTACAATGCTCTCTGTCACGTTATGACACGTGCCTGCAGAAAAGGCCTCGGAGAACCCATAAAATGTGCTTAACGCATCACCCACTTTGGTCAATGAACGCCGAGCCCTGATGGAGAAAAAAACCCCAGTCGGGCCGAGAGCGGCCTGCCCGAGGGATCGCACCGGGAACGGCTCCCGCGACCCTGCCGAGGGTCCCGCGGGCACTTCCCGCTGCCCGCCCGGCTGGAGCGGGAGCGGCCGCGCCGCTTTCCCGCGGGACGAGGCGGTGCCGGGGCGGCCCGCGGCTCTCCGGGGGGGACCGGCCCCGCACCCTCCCGGCCACTCCCGGCCGTTCAGCCGCGGGCGGGTCGGGGCCGCTCCGTTCGTCCTGCCGCCGCCCCGCTGGCGCCGCCCAGTGCGGCGGTGGCCCCGCAGGCTGGCCCCGGGCCGGGCGGGCCGCGCTCCCCGCGGGCCGGGCTGTGCGGGGGCGGCGGGACCGGGCGGCCCCCGAGCCCTCACACTAACCCGCTCCCCTCCCCCTCCCGCCACCCCGGACCGGCAGCGGCCGCAGCCAATGAGGGGCGCGGGCCGTGCAGGCCCAGCGGCCGCGGACCAATGGCGAGCGGCGGGGGGCGGGCGGAAGGGCCCAGCAGGGTGCGCTGCGCCTCTGGCCGCGCCGCGGGCCCAGCGCCGAGCGCGGCGCGGAGCGCAGTTGGCACAGGGGCGGCCGCGGGGCCGCCGGTGCGCGGGGACACCCCAGCCGCAGCCGCAGCCGCGGGCAGCCCGGCCCGGCCTCACCTGGCGGCTCCCCCCGGCGGCGGCGGCGGCGGCTCCGAGCGCTCCGGCTGCGCTTCACATTCAAACCGCGGGGCGGGGGCGCGGCAGCGGCTCCGTGACCGCATCGCGCGGGGCGGTGACACCGCGCGGCCGCCCGGCCAATCAGCGGCCGCGTCGGCCCCGGGCGCGCCGCCCGCAGCCAATCCGCGCCGCACGCCCGCCGCCGGCCAATGGCCGGGCCCTTCCCACAAGGCCTCGCGGCGCCGCTCGCAGCCGCCGCGGTCCCGGCACGGCCAGGCCCGCTCTGGGAAGAGAGAGCGGGACACGGGAAATGGGATAGGGACACGGGGATATGGACACGGGATATGGGATAGGGACATGGGATATGTGATAGGGACACGGGGTATGGGACACGGGATACGGGATAGGGACACAGGGTATGTGATAGGGACACGGGGTATAGGACACGGAGAGAGCGGGACACGGGATATGGGATAGGGACACGGGGTATGGGACACGGAGAGAGCGGGACACGGGATATGGGACAGGGAGAGAGCGGGACACGGGGTATGGGACACGGAGAGAGCGGGACACGGGATAGGGACACGGAATATGGGATAGGGAGAGAGCGGGACACAGGAGAGGGACACGGGAGCGGGACGGGAGGGAGCAGGCTATGGGACAGGGTCACGGGACCGGGACACGGCGGGAGGAGGGAACGCGCGGGGGGTACAAAACCCCAACCCCCCGAGCCCGCAGTGAAGCCCCGGAGGCTCCGCAGCCTCTGAGCCCCCTCAGGAACTACAGGAGCAAAGAAGCAACGCTTCGTAAAACTTTATTGATTTATCACTTGATTAAAGCACGGAATATTATAACTACTATACATTGTATTTTCATGTAGAAAACTTTACATAGGTTTTCATATTATATAATTTTGGTATTCTGTCAAAACTCTATACATCCATTGGCAAGAAATGCTCTTTAAATTATTGATAGTAAATGCACTTAATATGGAGATATTAAAAAAACTTAGGCATTTTAAATATGTGAAAACATACATTTTACACAAATAAAGGTGCTGGACAAACTGAATTTACAGATTAAAGGGAACTGCACTTTATTGATAGAGTTACTATTTTTAATCTTTCTCCTTTAGAATAGTAAGACTGAGCTAAAATCTGGGGGGTGTTGGTTGTAGTGGACATTGTTTGAGATTGCTCTGTTTACAGTTTGGAAAGTGAGTCAGGAGACATGGATAACAAACTGCCCTAAAAACCACTTTTTCCTGGACTGTAAGACACAAAAGAATCAACACGAGGGGTGATTTGAGGGGTGTTTCTAATCGCCATGAAAAGGGAGTTTTAGGGTTTCCCCTCGTTAAATCCTCCCCAGCTCCCTCCTGAGAGGGTCTGGAATGAGATGGAACAGCAACAACTGGGGAGTCTGTTTTTAAGAGCAGTTACAGAATCCTTTGAAGCACCACAAGTCCAAGAGGTGCCATTCTCACCCTGTGTATTGCACAGTCCCGCTGTCAACGCGGGGCCGGCCCCATTCCCGGTCCCACCGGAGCCAACAAACCCCCGTGGCAGCAGAGTCGGGGGGAGGGAGCAAGCCGGGAGCACTGCAGGAGGGCTGAGCTCCACGGGGGGGTCTGGGCGTTCTGCCCTTCCTGACTGTGAGGAAAACCAACGAGTGCTGTGGACACAACCTGCACACACCCTGCTCGTTGCTCTGACGGGGACAACGACCCCAGACATGGGACAGGATTAAGGCTCTGACCACCCCATTGCATCCCAGTCCCCCTCCTTCACACGCTGCAGAGTCTGGGATGGCTGGATGTCACATACCCCACACTTCAGCAGTTTATAACCGGTGTAAATACAACAAAACCTTTTCTTGAGGAAAAGAACAGCCTCAGACCAAAGGCTGAAAGGAAGGATGTATTAAACATCCTTATACCTACATGCAGAGAGTGCAAATGCTGCCCCTTAGAGTAAAGAAAGCCCAGGAAGCAACTGTGAAGTCATTTAAGATCTCAAAATTGAGACTTGTTTCAAGACACGACTGTAGGGCTTTGAAACCTGTGACACACGGAGGAAGGTGCAGCTGGGCCAGTTTTGTGCCTGATGGGACACAAGGGAATACATTCCATGAGGCAGTGACACATTTCACATCTGAAAAATAACCATTCAGATATTTTCTTTAGGACTACCTAGGACCAGAAGGAAAGGAATAGCATATTCTTACAGATTTAAATAGAATTCAAATAAATACTTCATTTTCTGCAGTAACCAATGCAGTGACATTCCCAGGGAATGAGCAGCTACATGAGATGCAACACAAAAGGACATTTCAAACACAAGTTAAATACCAGCATTGCTTAATTTCAGTCTTTTGCTATTGTCATATATAGCCATATATTGCCTTCTACTAAATAGCAGTGTATAGATTTAACCTAATGGGCATTTAAAAGTCAAAGAGCCACAACCACCATTTATTTTTCTTTGGTTAAAAATAAAAAGTAAAAATAAATTGTGAAAGCCTTGTCACTACTACTTGACTGCAAAACCTTTCCCTAACAATGCTTACGTAGGACAAGCTGATGAACTGAGGAGCACCGTAGGAACCCTTTGGAAATAGCTCAGTAAAAAAACCAAACAAACAAAAAAAAAAAACCAAAAAAAACCCAAAAAAAAACAACAAAAAAAGAAAACAACAAAGACAGACAGCAAATTCCCAGCAGCTCAGAGAAGAGTATCCCAAGACAACCTCAACTCAGGCCATCCTACCAGGAAACTCAACTGAAAAAGCAGAATAACAGGTTATACACTTAGGACCATTCAAGTAGGTAGGTTGTAATTGTTTGTTTGTTTGTTTTTTCTCTAAATACTGTTCTATTTTAAGTTTGCTACTCTGGATAGCACAGCAGTTAATGTAACACTTTGTATGCATTATGTTAGGAAGTGGAGCCTTTTCTCTCACCCTGCCATGCTTTCCCAGTTTAGAGAAGACTTAAAACCTGAAATTTAAAATTATTTCACAGGACAAGCTGGTATTCTGTCATGGAAACATTGTCACAGAAACCTGATGCAGTTCAAGGAAAGAAATAAAACTCTCCAGGGCAAAGCTGTGGTGTCACATCACGTTTGCTTCACAGGTACCTTCAGAGCACAGAAACTCTTAGAGCACATGGATGAACTTAGTTAATTTTGCTAGAGTTTTTTGGGAATTCAGTTTTTCTTTTAGATCCCAACAGGAACTAACAGCTGAGAATAAAAATCATTTGCACAAATCAGAGGTTGCAGATCTGCAGTAAATGGAGACCAACTCGTGTTAAGGACAGGACTTCTTGCTAAACAGTCACAATTGCTGCTAAATACATTGAACTAAAGGGTCAAAAAGGTGGGTTTATTTGTTCTGAGCCTTGTCTCAGATGTTCCTCTGTATGATCTGTCCATGATCTGCCAATGTATGAAAGGAAATGGAAAGCTTTTTCTTTTTTTTTTTAACTGCCTTTAAGTCAAGCCTAACAAGCTAAAGGGAGTAGATGCTATTGATGCTCCTGATGTAAAATCTTCCGTAAAACCAAAAATAAGTCTCAGAAGATACAGTACTGATATTAAAAAAAGTTTTTTAAATTACTTGCTAAACAGGAGGAAAACCCTCTCTCCAAATATCCTATGGGCTGTCCACATCAACACCCCAGCCTGGCCTGGTCCTGGCCACAAAGGAAAGCCCAGAGGGGTCTCAGGTGGTTCCTTGGCCACTGCAGTTGAGTTTATTACGAACACATGAGCCAACATCACAAGGCTACACAACTACAGTCATCACTTCCAAGGGGCGTAATTTCTGTGGAGAGATCCAGCTGATTTATCAGCTCTGGCTGGGATGCAGGACCGAGCAGTGGAGAAAAGACTGGGAGAGAGAGACCGGATCATGAGGATGACGAGCATTGAAACAGAGACTGTACACCTACTGTATTGACTCTGTAAGCAATCGTTTAAATAAAACTGCTGACAGTTTTGTAGGATGGACAGAACAGGATTATTTTCCTCGTCCCCAAACGCCACTGTGGTAAGAATAACTTGCTGCCGCGGTGATACGCCAGGCTCCCATTTTTTCCCGTCCACTTCAATCCATCTCTGGAGCACAGCTTTATGTACAGGCCCTGACAGCAGCCCTGCTCGGGGCTACCAGGAGGGCAAACTCCCTCCCGCTGTCCGTCCGTGCTCCTCGGTCCCGCAGATGTTGAACACGACCCCGATGCGCAGGAAGAACCTCCTGAGCACGGCGCGGAGCTCGGGGATCAGGTCGAACTGCATGAGCTCACACAGGTACGGGTAGTACGTGGCCGCGTGTGCCCGGAACTGTCCAACACACAAACCACAACGTTATTCTCTGCTGCTACAGGGAAACACAGAGGTTTTCCACACTCGTGGCCACACCAACTTGGTAAAGCACCAGGCGCTGCCGAGCTCTGCGTGTGTTTGCGCAGCCGCCGCACACAGAGCCCTTGGCCCTTCACAGAGTCAGACTGGTCTGTGAGGTGGTTCTGAAACCACCTCAGCCTAGAGCTGGTATCAGGGACTATTGGTAGCAACGTGAATATTAGCATTCACTTTTCTTCAAAATTATTTCTGCCATCGCTGTCAGGGAACTGGAATTCCAGTTTCACAGTGGTGAAATTCACCCCTCCCATTCTCGTGCAGCTGTAACACAGCACAAGCCCATCCATCACTGGACAGTCATTGTGCTTCTATATGAAAGCTCTTCAGTAATTCTATCCCCATTCCCACACAGCTGAGAATTCCAGGGATGCAGCCCCATTCCCAAATGCAGAGTGCCTGCAGACAACAGACACTGCTGTAGTGTGAGGAGAGCACTCGCCATGAGGAACTGCCACCTCCAGCATGCATAGTAATGCAGAATGAACTCAGACTGAAGCAGGAATGGGAAAACATACCTGAACACAAACAGACATGACTTCCAGCCCCTTCTTACCTTGTCATCACTGATTTTTAGTGTTTTTGTTAGAAGCAACAGCAGGAGATTGGTCCAGGCTTCTCTGTGGCTTTCTGAGTTGACAGTAATAAAATATGCCAGGGCTTCACTGCACACACTGGAGAGAGGGCACAGGCCACACAAACCATAAAGAAAACACTTATAAAGCTTTTTATAACGTGCAGTTTGTCCTCTCATTGTATCTTGTTTTCAAGCAAGATGCACTTCAATGGGAAAGTTTTCAATCACATGCAACAACTTTAACTACATAAATTTGTTTTGTCTTTTCTGTTACAGGAGTTGTTCCGGATAACTTGAAATACTTTTCATGTTGGCAACAGAGAACGACAGAGACAGAGATGGAAAAGTCTGACTTGCCCAATAAACATTTTGTAATTGAAGTGCTGTCACCTTCAACCTGCAAACACTATTTCCTGACTCTTATACTGGGACAGCTGAAGCAACAGCACCGTGAGAGAGCTCTCCCTCCAAATCTAGGCTGGTTTAAAAAAGATCTGCAGAGCTCAGCGTCACGGATTAAAGAGGAATTATTATTGTATTAATAAATTTTTGGTCCCTGCTGCAGACTGTAAACACAAGGTACAAACTGTACCACTTAACTATGGCTATTTTAGGACACACTTAATTAAAGAAGCAATGGAACCTTCCCTTTTACACACTAAGCAGATTAACACGTCCACAGATGCTAGTAGATCAGAATCCACTGCCTTAGTGCCAACAGCAGGCTTGGAAGATCTTCACATTTGATCAGAGATTAGTAATTTGAACTTCTATGTACCAACAACCCATCCAAATACCTTTTTATATTTATTTAGCATGATTTTCTACATTTGTTTAAATTCTAGGTATACAGCAGCTTACAATAATCTAAAGGGAGTGCAGTGTATCCTATTATACCTCTGACTATCACTATGGACTCTGGTGGTAAAAGTATTCAGACATCATCACTTCTGTAAAGAAAAGCCTATGTCAGGCAAGAAGGTGCTTCCTTTGTTCAGGCAGATTGTTTCCTTACTGCTAAATTAACTTCTAATAGAGAGTCGTTCTATCTGTTTATCCATGGTCATCTCCACGGACTGGGCTGTTTGTCCCCAGGCTGTGAGCTGTGGTGGCTGAGGGGGAACAGCCCTTGTCCCCAGGCTGTGAGCTGTGGTGGCTGAGGGGGAACAGCCCCTGTCCCCAGGCTGTGAGCTGTGGTGGCTGAGGGGGAACAGCCCTTGTCCCCAGGCTCTCCTACCTGAGCAGCCGCCGCTGAACCGCATCCCAGGAGTCCCGCCGGCTTTCATCCACGTACATCCGGAACAGGATCCTCAAGCAGCACGCCAAGCTGCTGGTCTCTTGTTTTAAGAGATTGGGTTTTGATTTACCCTTGAACCCTAGAGATCAGTCACACACACAGGAAGAGAGGGAACATTCACATTTGGAGTTACTGGCCAAAAATGAAGTTTATCAACGCTACCTGCATCAGTGACTAGTAATGGTTTCTTGTCCAGATAGTATTGCCTCCTCTTTGATTTTGACTGAAACCCGATCTATTTATAAAGACAATTTACTACAGCAGTAGCAGCTGTGTAGCTCTACTTTAATCAAACAAAGCAGATAATTTAGCAAACAAAAGCATGCAACCTTCAGCTGAACCGTACAGGTTATTGCAAGTCACACTGTAGTGCTGCAATAGTTAAAGCTGAAGTGGAGCTCAGCATTTTTATCAAATAAGAATAAAAGCCTCACCTGCTCTCCATAACACAGTTCGCTGCTCATAGTTTGAGTTAAAGGCTTTTGAAAACGAATGAGACTCTTGCAGACAATCCAGTAACTTAAAGAGGTGATGAGAAGACATGTATTTGTACATTCCTTGGTCCTCTGTGTCAATGTGGATATCTGCATCCAATGCGTCTCGCTAAGGGGCAGGGGAGAGAGAGCACATGACATGACCCACACTAACTCCAAATTCCATTTTAGGTGCAAGTGCAGTATCAGTGTAATAAAACACAGAAGAGTGGTGCTGTCAAAGATCAGAGTTGTACTCTTCTCAGTGGAGTATTGGAGAAGAGAGAAGTTATGGTCTATCCTAGTTACTGGTAAGAACATAAGAATCAAGAGCAAGGGGAGAATTTCCTTATCAAAGCATTACAGTCCAAGCAATACAATACAGAACATTTCTTCTCCTCTAGAAGCTGGCTGGGTAGGTCTGTTGAATTCTGAAGAACATCAAAATGAACCACAAAAACAGTGCAAGTTTAAATGTTGCCTGGTGTAGAAATTCCCTATCTTTGGCTCAGGTCAAATTTAATTAAATTGGTCAATATTTTTAGCTAATTTCACTAGGAATTTAACTATACCATCCCCAAAACACTACCTGAATGCACTAGGCCCAAAATTCTAGCTTAGTGCTTTATTAACCGCCAAGCAAGAGCTACTGTGCACTATTCCCTAGAATCAGAACTTTCAGGAACACTGATGTCTCCAAGGCTGGTGATGAGTGGAATCTTGACCACTGACTTTGCTCAAATTCAGCTTCTGCAAAAACTCCTGTGCAAACATCCAGAGGCTGAGTAGAGCCTCAGCTGTGACTAAATGAAGACACTCAGACTAAAGAGCAGAAAAGAATGCTTTCCCCAAAACAAACCAAAACCATTCTTGATGAGTATGCATTCATTGTAAAAAGAAAGATAATCTATTATATTGACAATTAAAATAGAGGCAATATAATACTGCAACAGGCAGACTGCCAGGAAGCATTGGAGGCAGATCAAAAAAAAAAACCCAAACTTAAGAGTAATTTACACACACATTCAGGGTAGTGCTGAGTTATTAAAAGAAACGACTATTTTGTAAATACACATCATAGTTTGTATTTTACTGTCACAACAAGGTCACAAGTAAGTCTGATGGTACCTGAGCTGCAGCCATGTGCTCAGCATCCTCCTTCTTGCTTGTTGCTGGATAGAACACTATGTTATCAATGGTCTGTATCAACTCCAGCTGCACCACACACTTGATAAGGAGGCCAGCAAATAGTTTCTGGTCTAATGAAATGGAGCAACACAAGTTTCAGAAGCAACTCACACCAGTTCACTTACAACAGGCTAACAAAACAGGACATTGCCATTAGCATTTTGATAGTTAGTGATGCTGTGAATTATCTTCTAAGGAGAAAATCTCTCTGCAAGGCATAAACACAAGTTGCAAAGATGTACCCCAAGTTTAACTGCCCCAAAACTACAAAAGTGAACTAAGACTGGCTATAAAAATGCATTGAAAAAGCTTGCCCATTCTCCTTACTTGTATAAGGACCACCCTTCCAGCTCTCATCTGTTGGATTTGAATACTGACTTTGTCCTCTTTCAGAAGCATTTTTATCCATGCTGCTTAAAGACTGATGATCTAGGTCCAAATCCTAAAAGAGAATGCAGAGCAATTCCAGCAATCCAAAACACTAACCCTCAACCAGCTATCAGTTTTCAGATGACTTCACTCATCTTAGATTCAAAGGCTTCCTGAATCCATTCTTTACATCCTTTTTTTACAATGACACCAAATACTGTCAATTCCTTGTCAAGTGTATTGACTACAACAGAATATTTCAAAAGTTGACCTAACACAAACCCCTTTAAAGTCAGTTTATTGCCCTGAATTAATTCTTACCAAGTGTTTTTCAGATGAATCTTCCTCCATTCCTGCAGGCCTCCATGTCAGCAAGCTTCACAGAGCAAAAAAAATACCAACCAAACAGAACAAAACAAGAAAGGTAAATATTGTTGCTCTGGAATTGGGTATTAGTATAAGAGTGAAATGTATGAACTTACACATGAGGAATAGTTGTTTTGAAGATTTCTAGCATACAATTGCATGTCTGGCCCCAGACTTCAGGGCTGAATTTCTGTCCATTGAGTATTACCAGGTTTTCCAGGCAGTTTGTACCTGATCGTGCCAACTGCTCATTATCTGTGGAAAGAAACATTCCATATTTATCAACATCTACAATATCGATGAAAAATTAGGCATTCCCTATTACTGCTCCACTAACAGTTTATACTAGTACTGTGAAATGCATGGTGTCTTGGCTCAAAGCCTTTCTGTAAAGTATGGTACAACAATATCAAGCTGAGGAACCTACTGAATAAAAAATAGTTTCAAGCTTCACAAGATGGAAATCCAACCAGGGAAGACAAAGGACAGGACAGAAGCAGAAAGGAAGCACACAGTGAGACAAAGGAAGGAAAAGCAGCAATCATAAACTTATGATTTCCTGCAAGATCATCCCCCCAGATTCCATGCTGCCAACATGCAGGATTACAGGTGTAGGAATTGGAGCCTGAAAGAAAACATGTTCTTCAGGAAGTTGTATTTGAAAGCACTCAGTGGGTGGGAGAAGGGAGGAAAGGTGCAATGAGAGAAAAGGAAAAAAGAAAAAAAACCAGAATATACATAAATACCTCTATGTGTAAATAAAGGAGGTAATGTATCCCTGCAGTCAAACTGAGAAAGTTGTTGGCAGAACCCTCAGAAGATTAACACCACCTTCTAAAAGCCTTTGCTGTGTCACAGTAACACCACGAGCACATTATGAACACAGAAACAGAAGAGCTGCCCAAATCATTAAATAGATTGGTGCTCAAATATTCAAGATACCGCATCAATACACTGCATAACATACTGTCCCCCAACGGTAGTTTCTATTCTTCCAAAATTCAGGTACCTTTCCCCTCCTTGAATAATGAACATTTTAAAATAAGATTTATTCAAAAGATACAAGTAAATAAGGTACCTTGTTTTACACACCAGTGCAACTGTGCAAGTATGTCGGGAAGGAGGATCTCGTGCAAAGCCTCGTAGAACTGGGTGAAGACGTCGCAGATGGCGTAGAGCGCGTGGTTGCACGTCGTGGTCATCCACTCGGATTTCTGGGGGAGAGAATGGAAAACCTTTGGGTTTATGTGGGTTCCTCCATGATGACTTGGCTTATACCTGGCTGCTCAACAAAATAAACAGCCTCTGAGGAGAGGAGGAGAACCCAGATAAAACTAAAGCCTCACGACTGCAGGTGCCTGGTCAGAAGCTCTTAGGTGGCCACGCGAACACGGCTCAGAAAACTGCACATGTTCACAACAGAGAACGTTCCCCTTGAAAATAATCAGACAGACAGAACACACAGAGAGGTCACTGGACACTATGACAAGTTTCATTCATGCCACAGAACTCAACAGAACACAAAACGTGTCGTAAAGGCTGGGGCACTATGGGGGTGGCAATACACTGACAAGACAAACCATACAAAATGCTGCCTTGGTTGTGCAAGCTCCTAAAAGCAGAACTCTAAAAAATGCTTGCTTTGAGAGTTTTTTTGCTTTTACCTCTGTTTGTTGTTCAGGGAGTTTCATATTATCAAAAATCCGAAACACAATTCTGAACAGGTCTTGCCACCAGTGCTTTTCAAAGGTATGCCCGTAACTCTTCATGATTTCAAACATCACTGTTAAGCCTCTATAAACAAAACCAAACAATTAAAGGAACAGATGTTACAATGAATTCCAGTGATCTTTTTAATAACAGAATTTAAAAAAAAAGGAAAAAGATAAAAGCTTTATTACCTTGTTCGAACATCTAATTTGCAACGATTGATGATACAAGAAAGTTCAAATAAAATGGGAAACCATCCTCTGACCCATACTCTGTCCCCAGGAGCCACATTCATGTCATCACTTGTGTATTCTCTTAAAACCTTCAAGATGGGCAGGAAAAAAAAAAGATTTTAAACCAACAATCTTAAAAAAAATCTTTAAATGTGACAAATTTAGATACTACTAGTGGCACAGATAGACTTGGAAAGTTAGCTTAGTTCCTACTGCAACCCTCAAATCCTGTAAAATATAAATGTAAGATGTAACTATTTGCAAAAATACTGGAAAAAATATATGGAAATAAATACCTCAATCTGTTTTACTTCAGTCCAACTAGAGGCCTTACAAGTTATCAAGGTTTGGACTTTTTAGAAAGCAACTTTAACAGGGACAGACAACTGTCATATAAATATAGGTAACAAGGAAACCTAAAATTGGCAGAAACCAGTTCTGCACTTCTCTAGTACCTTGAATGCTGTGTGCACTGGGGACATGCAACTGCAATGGAACTCCAGGCTCTCTTCAGCCAAGTGATTATTGTACTCAGTCTTCACACAACAGACTGATGTAGAAAAATATGCAAGTTTGTATCCAATTAAACTAGGCAGAATTAGGGGGGACAGAACAAAAGGTATTGCTTTCCAGGTCATCCTAACACTACAAAACCACACAAAAAACCAAACAAGGACTACTTCATTTGGTTATTTCCAATTTGGACTTATAAGACTGAACATTTTTTAATTAGCCCTAATTTACTGCTTACATAATACCAAAATTACTCCTAAATCCGAACAAGCTTTTAATACAAACACTTGCAACTGAAGTTTAAGTCTGAAAGCTCGCTCTTAGAAACAAGATTAGTCTCTTTTTACCAGCAGAAGAGAGAGTGAGAATGCACAAGGGTAAGAATTCCAATGTACCTGTGGTCTCTCTGAGACATATTTTGCACAGTAGCGAATAAGCCTGATGGCCTCCATGCTGGTGTCCGGGAAGGCAACGTTACAGGCAAACTCAGAGAGGCATTTTACTGCATCCTGAAATGAGTCAATTGCTGCTGGGAAATGCTGCTGGAAAATATTTGCTGTGAAGAACAAACAAATACACTTCTTAAAATTTACTGGTATTGAAATCCGTAGATAAACTGCATCGATCTAGACATGGCAACCACAGTACACACTACAGGACAGGCAAAAGTGGAAGGAACAGATCTTCTACATTTCATATGGTTCTTTGCCTTCTCTTGCATTCTTCCCAAGCCCACCCCACCAACTGCATTCCAAAGTTCTACAGCACAATATCTGTATCTAGTTTTTCCTGTTCATAGCAATCGGGAGACTTAATGGGTAGGACCCAGCTGCAGAGTTTAAACAATCTGGCTGCAAGGTCTTGTGTTTATTTGCCTGGAAATACAAAAGGCTTGTTCAGGTGAGCCTTTTAAAGCAGCCTCACAGCAGCAAAGCTAATTTGGGTACTTGCATCTGTCAAGCACTACTTACTGACTATGTGTGCTGTAGTCTGAAAGGCCAGCTCCACAATATTCCCATCGTGGTCTGACGCCGCCTGATGAAAGACTGCAAAGATATTTTTCCAGCCTGAACGAATGTTACCAGCCTGAGAGTTCACCATCTGAGCAATACAGCGTATCACCATGTCCCGAATAGTCGGAGATCTTCAAAAACATAAACAGGAAAGCAAGACTTTACACTGGCACAAAGCAACTGCCCCTCTTCCATGCGCTCGACCACCTATCCCACACCCAGTGACATCCTTAAGCAGGACTAAAGAAAGACAAAGCAGAGGTTGCAGTGTCTCACACCTGTTTTTCTTCATAATATGCTCAAAAGGCCTTAGGAAGTCTTTCTGGAAGCGGAAGTTGGCCAACTCTCCCTTCTCAAGAAATTTCATTGACAGCTGCCTTAATGAGTCTACGGCAAAGATGGCGACATCTTCATTAGGGTTACACCCAACCTAGGAGAAAAGCATAGTTTCAAACACTTATCAGCTCATGTATCACTCACATGAATAACAAATTCATCATTCCAGTTCCATCTCAGCCCCCTAAAAATCGCTGGCACGTTCTAGTGTTCAGATATTTAGGAAATACGGGGTTCCTCTTGAAGGAGGCTTTCTGTCATTTGATCCATCTGAACAGACCTGTGGATTTTGTATACAACAATGCAGAACTATAATAGCCAGCTAGATGCTAAAAAATAATAAAATAAAAATCTTGGTTCAGTTGCCAAGGGAAAAAAACTGTTCCAGGATCATCTGTGCACATTTTAGAGGAAATTAACTTGGCATTTGCTCAGAAAGACAAGACAAAGAAAAATTACAAATACAAAATGACAAATACAAAGTGATTAAAAATCATTACCATAAACATTTCCATTTCTATTTATACACTTTAGATTTTTAAATAGGTGCTTCCTGTAGGTGCCTTGAATGGAACTTTTTTTTTCAATATCACAGCTTAAGCCACTAAGGACACAGAAGGAAAAAGCTGATTAAAGAAATCCTGCTATTCTCATATGTTCTGTAACTTGATTTGAACAAGTACCTTATTGAAGTGATCTCCAATCACGTGCCAGATCCTCGACCACTGCAGCCTGATGCGGTTCATGTTGTAATAGGAGATCTCCACGATCTTCTGCAGGCTGAACATGCGAGGGTGGTGCGGGGAAGCCAGTTCATCCATGGACACGGCACAGAGCCACCGCACAAAGTCAACTGCACAGGAGAAGCCTGCAGTGAGCCCAGAGGTTCCACTGCAGGGCCCCTGTGACCCACTGCTGCTCAGCACGTACCTATGGCGTTCCCATCCAGCCGAGTCGAGCCCGTAAATATCCTACGGAACAAAGAAACGAGTTGGAGTTTCAGCTGCGCATCCACAGGAGTCAAACACATCCCAGTGTTGTAGAAAGAGGTCAGCACATCTCCTGGGAGTACTTCACAATCCTCCATGCCATGAACTCTGCAACTGTTTTATTCTTACCCCTTGGCAGCAGTTCATGCCCCTCTCCTTAGTCTAAGCATTCTCCCCACTCCAAGTCACAGTCTCCTGTGCTCATGTTCTGCTGCAGGAGCAGGCACAGGCTCACCATTTTATCCAGAGCAAGTGATGCTGGAACACTCATTTGGGTGACAGTATGTTAAATTTCACAGGGACAATAAAAAGACATTAAGAAAGCTCTGCTGCAAGACTTGGATGCCAGCCACCTGCTTGATCTTAACATGGTCTGGGAACACGGTCAGCAGTGCCTGTCAAAACAGACTGGAGGAAGACTAAGGATGCACTGTTGGCCCTTCTCCCACTTCAGCTGTCCAGTCTCAAGAGGAGTTCAAACCACTGACAGTGGTCCCAAATCTTTTGGACTTTGATGCTGGACATCAAATAGTATGTTAGAATAAATGCTGCAAGCCTGAATGTCTAACTCCACAGACTTGCACACTAGTTTCAGTAATTATTAAGAAGTCCCATTCCAACACATGATTTAGGACAGAAGCACATCTTTAGACAACAAAGGGAGCCAACAAAGATAAGGATTTAGATAAGAGTGCAGAGGTTCCATTCTCAGTACCTGTCCACTGCCACCACCACACTCTGGGAGCTGGTCTCCCCCACGGACTCCTGGATGCTCGCCATGTGCCGTTTGTCAGCCCCACTCCCAACCAGGTTCCCTTCAATAAAAGCCATTAAAAACCTGCATTTAGCATCATGAAATCGTGACTTGATATTAACTCCAACATTAAACAAATAGATAAAGAGAAGTGACTACTGCTTCCAGTTACCATGTCATTTATAAGGAGCAGATGGTGCCCTTGCCAGATCCGTGCCAGATTATTACGAAGTTAAACATAATTTTCATTAAGATGATATGATGCTGTTAATAAAATTGGAAATTATAAAATATTCTTTTAAAATATGAACTATAAGTCAGCTACAAGCAGTTAATGCCGGGAACAGTTCTATATTCATCATCATCATGTATAGTCCACTCCACAGTATTTTCAAATTAAAATGCTTCCTTAATGGTTTTCCAAAGATTAAGGCAACTTGCCTTGTCTCTCTAATTTACAGCCTAAAATCTAAGGTTTGCTTCTTGCATATACTGCAGAAACAACAGGAACTGGAACAGCAAGCCCAACATGCAGAGATCAGAAATTCCTTTGGAAAACGAATTATCAATCATTGAAACATCTATTTATTCCTAAAGAAAAATGGCTTACTATGAGCAACTGAGCATAAAAAAATAACTGATAATACTTGTAACAAAGCCATGTGTGGTAAAACAGTTTTGAAAACAGTACATTCCAACAAATAAATCTGGAGGCGTTGTTAAACAGCTTAACCCAATTCCAAAGTTAGAGCAGATTTGGTAATTATAAACACATCTTGAAATATACATTTGCTCTTTTTTTTTTTAAGGTTCATTAATCCAATGGGAAGTAAGTAAACATATTTGAATATCTTATAACACTGAGTATTCTTAGCCATCCTACTTCATTGACATGTGCACTTTTGTGAAGTCCAGGATTAATCATCTTACCTAATCCCAGGCCCATAAACTCCTCCCCTGCAGAGGCATAGCCCTTAATGCTGCCTTCCCTCTCACGCCCAGAGCCAGACAAATACCGAGTTTTCACGCCAGTTCCTATGAGCTGTGCCAGTTCCAGCTGGCTAATACATTTCAAGATCTACAACCAAAAGAAATTAAACATTGTGTTTCTGGACACTACCATATTTTTATTCCTAACAGATATATATATATATTTAATATTTATAAGCTTCCCAGGTTCTCCAACCTTTAGAACACCTTTGACCCAACCACAGCTTTGAGGTAGCTGAAACATTACCAGTAAAACTAAAAATGAAGTTGAGTGATTCATTCAAGATCAGCCACCATGAATCATTCCAGTACAAGAATAAAATAAACAGTGCCCAAAAATCTAACTTGGACCTCTAACTATTACAGGAAGCCTTTTTATTACTTCTCACAGCATCAAGACTATAAACAACTTGGAGTTGATCTTCTAGAGATTTCAATGTCCATCATTCATCTCTAGAGAGATGGAGAGACTGAATCATTGCAGCCATCACCACTTAAAGTAACGATGGTCCAACCTAGAGTGTAAATGTCCATGATGTCAATCAGCCATCAGCACAAAATTCCCCATCTTTTCCCTCCTCCTCCTCCTCCCCTGCCACGTTTGGCCTGGCACAGGCACCTGGGAGGGTGTGCTCTGAGCCAGGTCCGAGGCACTGTCAGCTGTGGCACCTTTTGGTTCGTACCATGTAGCCCAAGACTAGTGCCAGAGAACATAATGCAGCAGGAATGCCCCTTTCAGCAGCAGCACACATTTAGAGCTCATTAAAAGAGCTCCTGGAAAACAGGCTTTAAAAATACATATGATCCTGATAGCCTCTCCTTACCTATCCCCAACCAAATTACTTCAGCCCTAATTTTTCATGCTCTTAGCTGTAAATGTTGCCAAACACTGCACACAGACAGGTTTGGACCTGTGAACTTGTTTCCATGAACAAGAATACAGTAGTTGACATGCAGAATTCTCTGGAGCCAAATGACATTTTTAATATTGTTTTAAATTCATATCAAACACACCCTCAAAAATTACAGTATTGTCACACAGTCTCTACAGGGTCTTCCAAAAAACCAGCAGTGCATTATGTTTTATATATATGTGTGTGTGTATATGCACACACATTTATATCAAAAATCCCACTAACAATATAATGCACTTCCTCCACATTTTCAGGAGGGTTCTGGGAGCTGATAGAAGAAAAAATATCCTGCAGGTTTTCAAAGGACACCACAGTTTACTATTTAACCTAATCAATATTTACCTCATGCCAAGAATTCCCGAGATAGTTGCCATCTGTGTGAGCAACTGTAATGAGTGTCTTAATGGTATCAATGTTCTTCTGTTTCATTTCTGTAATGCTGGAACTGGCAGTCAACAAGGAAAATCGAGCAAGGGCCTGTACATAAGCATCTCGTTCAAGCTACAAGACAGAGAAACAAACATTGTAATTGAGTCCCTGAAGAAGCAGAGAAAGTACTTTGCCTCCACAATTTTCCTTCCATAGGTAGCTGGCACTGTTAGAACACCTTCCAGCTTAAGGAGAGCATGATGCCAGTTAGCAAACACTCTTAATAGAAGACTCAGCAAGAAAAAGGAAAGCAGAGTTGAAGAAAACTTGATTATATCAAGTTGAAATCTTGAAATCTTTTTACCATTTTTTTATCTCCTGAAATCTTTTACCATTTCAGGAAAGCAGATGAGACAATTCACTTTCTACATATAAGCTGTTATTGATTCTTCACCTGCCTCCCAGAACTCTTAGCAAGCCCCAGGCTAAGTCCGGTACCAACCTGCATTCCAAAGATACAAGCTATCCTAATGGCACAGCGTATTCCTTCCAAACACAGAGATGCAACCTCTGTGTCATCACAGTTCTGCAAGCCAACACTGTAAGCTGCCAGCAATGGAGTCCAGACGAGCTAAAGAGAGGAAGAAAGTAAGTTCAGAAGTCTGTTACGATTTTAGCCCAAAACACTGGGTCACTGAAATCAAATATACCCAAAGAGTCCAGCTGTTGCATTACCAAACCCTTCAGAGCAATTTTTCACTTTTTCCCCCCATGCTTAAAGCTCTTGGTAATGAAGACCCAGTGAGTGGCACTCACTTTGAACATGGGCCTGACGTGGTCCAGGTGAGTGGCGCTGGTGAAAGGCGCCTTGGCGTGGCTCACTGCCTCCATCAGGGCCTTGGCTGTCTTTGCCATCTGCTCCATCTCCAAGTTGTACAACAACCTCCGCTGCTTCTCGTTGGCCACACCTAAGGGGAACACCACCCAGTCACACTGATGCCTTTTTTGTATAAGACCATATTCCCTGTCTTCACACTGAGCATCACAAAACTTTAAATAAAGGTATTTGCAAATGAAACCTAAAGATAAAAAAATCTTTCAGAATGTTAGAAGTCAGGGGGCTGTCCAAGGTTGCAAGCAAGGAATTCCAGGACTAAGAACCACACCCAAACGTAAGACTTTATTCTATACAAAATAACTAATTCAGCCCTTTACTGTATGCCACGTGCTATGACCTAATCATTCCAAGTCAGAGATGCAAAGTCATTCTGCCTGTAGAAATGGATAGAAAATCCTTCATCTTCTTAGCTTCCCATCCCCAAAAACGAAACTAGCCCTCACCAACTTGATAAATAAATTAAAAACTTAGTGTTTCTTTATCCTTATACTAAAGGCTGTAATTTCAATTTTCAAGCAAATTAATTTTCTTCCTATTTTGATTCAGGGAATCTGCAAAAGGGTTCTTCTTACTTGGTTTACTACACTTGGTTGCAATTGCGTATTCTTTTGTCTCTTTCATGGCAATTTTCTTTCCTTCTATTTCTTCATAGATTGTGGATAAATACTCTACTGGCAGGTCTTTACTGTCATTGATTCCTCGATTCATTTTAATGTACTGCTCCTTTGTCATTTTATTTTTTACCTGTAAAAAAGAATGGAAATTGGATATCAGATTTTGAATGCAAGTTTCAGGGAGACTCTAGAAGTTTAGGCTTTTTAAATTCCTACCTGTGGACTGTGCAAGTCTGTAGTCAGCATTATAATGGAGTATGCCAAAACATAAGCAGTGTCAGCACTAGCAAATAGTGTTTGCCTGAGGGAGGAAAAAACAAAAGAGGTTTACAGAGCCTCAATTCCTCAATCTATTAGCTCTAGTTCTACATGCAAGAAGAATATGCAGAAGTGCTCTGGATTCAACCAAAGTTCTAACAGAGCCTGAAGCCAGCAGTTAGAAACACCTCAAGCCCCAAATGGTTTAAAATGCAAATAAAAAGGAAAAAAAAAAAAGCATCATCTCTACAATACCAAAAACTAGTGGTGACCAAGATTTTCAAGTACATTCCCTAAAGATTATACATTATCCTTCTTTGGGTAATCCCACAAAAGTTACAGGACAGGTTATTTTTCACTCCCAGGGTTTCATAAAGAATGACAAAACCAGCCCAGTGATGTACCACCTGGACTAAGGAATGGGAATCAATTAAGCCAGACACGGAGCTAAACTTCAGTGCTAGTTTATCACATCAGGAACAATAGCAACGTTGCCTATTTGGTATCAAATAACATATACACGCTTTGTTCCACATCTGACGGGCAAGCAAAAACATTGTAATGTCATATTAGCTGTTTATGTCATGAATTTTTAATTTTAGCAATTGCTTCTACTGTTTTTTCTGCTTGACTGATCTACATTTGTTTAAAAATGGAACAGCTAGTACAGAGACAATTTAACAAACTTAAGGCTTCCCTCTTCCAGTAATTCCTTCTGGTAAATCCTTTCCAGCAACAGGGTTTAAAGAAATGCCAGGATCAGTATACTTCCTATCCAAAGTTTCCATCTTGCCCAGCTGCTGAGGAGGTTCAGCACCAGGATCAGCAGCAAGACATGCTCCTCACACAAGCCTGGTTTGTCCCTAAGGGCCACAAACAGCACAGCAGGGAATGTTCTTCAGGCATTTGTCCAACACAAAGGTTTGAATTACCGTTGGTTGCACTCAATGTATCTAGCAGCAAACTTCTCCATTAATCTATCGATCTTCTGGGCTTCGCCTGGCAGACGAAAACCTTCCAGAAATATACGCAGAGCAGAGACAAAGTCTTTTCCACAGAAATCAAGCTGGTCTACATAGGCATACATCACTTCCTTGTTAAACTTGTTGCTTTCCCCAAGAAACTCCCCTACTTGAGTCTAAAAACACAAGAGACAGTTATTACTGTGCAATCCAACTGCCAGCTTTGTAAGAAGGTTTCTAGCCCAAGAGTTGCACAGCTCAGTTGTGTAAGGCTGACACGCGTCGCTGAGTGGGCAGAGCAGCCCTGGGAGGGGTGGCAAGAGAGACTAAGGGCAGTGGATGTGCCCTTAGTCTGCATAGTCCTGCTTCCCTCACTTCCAAGGGCAAGATCTGCATTACTGCAGAGCCAAGCAAAGCTGAACTGTGCCTGGGTTCACACACAGCTTTGCAGTACACGATACTTCAGTGCTGGGAAGGTGCTGCTAACGCAGGGACAGATGAAATGCACGTTCCATTCATGGGGAACCCTCCAGCACATTATTGTAACACAATACTTTACTGGAAAGCCTGGGACAGCAAGTAAACAGTAAGGAACTTTGGCATTAAGTGTCTCCATGAGAAGCCTTGCATGTTCAGTTCTCTATTACTAAGATAGGCACTACAGAGAGGGTGCACACAGACAGCAGGGGCAGGGGAGAAAGTACTAGGGGCAAGTGTGTTCATTATCTCATGCTGCAGTAATCTTACAGAACAGAGGCGTTCCTCTTGGTGTAAGAATTGTGCCAGGTCCTCAGCTGTAGTGCCAAGCATCCCCTGCTCCTGTAGATACTGTATTCCCCTCTTCGGTTTTTTATTAAACCTATTCAGACAAAAACATGGGGAAATTGAGACATACATTAAAAATATCACAGCCTATAAAATTTCAGTTTTACAGAGCCCTTATAAACCAAAGATTCTGTGCTGTAGCTCCATGTCTTTTGTTTCTAGTTAGAAAAGAAGTCAAAGAATGTGCAACAAATCTATTACCTATATCACACTACAGGCTCTATTTCTTAAGGTACATTCAGTTGCTGATAACCTTTTAAGTTATTGCTGAAAAACTCACTTAAAAATTGACCTTTCTGAAATGTTAAAAATTAGAGACTTTATGCAAAACATAAAAATGTCGCTGTTCGAGACCTCCTTCTCGCATTTACAGACATGAAGATCTTCAAATTAATAAAAAAGAAGTAAAGCATAGCCAGGCAATGATTCTCCAAACTCTATTTCAATAAAAGACAACAAGTGGTGTAAGATCTGTAAGATAATCCTGCCCCTCAAACCAATTTCTCTCTAGGCATACACACTTCTGTGCAGCTGAGCCAGCAGAAAGGAAAGCTGTGAAAACACCTTCCACTCCACCCATGATTTTATGTAATTCCTTTTAACTACAACAGCCTCCAGCACTGGTTTCTGACAGCAGCAGGCAAGAGTCTTCAGCATTAAAATCAATTTGTAAGTGTTCCTACAGGTATGACTGTGTGAGACCATAAGAAACAATATGGTTGTACACGTTTTTTTACTAGTAAACTTTAATTTTCCTGTCATACTGGGCTTACAGTTCTATCCCATGTTCAATTATTTCCTTTTGTTGCTTGATGACTTCAAATTGCTCCGGGTCATCCGGGACAGCAGTCTGAGTACCAACACTTCCAACTCCTGAGGACACGGTGGAGTCCAAGGAACTGACACTACTCCGTCTCCCTCCACTCTCCAGGCATTTACCTTCAGCCATTTCCTGTTCAGATGGTTTGTATGAACCTGTTTATAAACAAGGCAAGATTTAAGTTTTCCTGTTCAGTCCAGAGCTTTTAATTATAGAACTTTTTAGCAGAAATCTATGAGTCTAATATTCTCATTTTACCATGTGCACATTTTGGCCGTCTGCACGACATGAAGATGCTCTATCGACACAATTCCAAAATAATCCAGCCAAAGGCAGAAGAGCAACAGAAGCTACAGAGAAATTCCTGCACTTCAGTTTAGTTCCTGCAAGATTGATCACATGTCTTGCTCTGCACAAGCTTTCATAGTGTAGACAAGGGCCTGGCTAAAGCTCATCAACAGAACCTGGTTATTTGAACCAGACCCGTGGAGAGTCAGTTACTGCAGCAGCATTAACAACTGTTGGTGAAATACTTCACTTGTATAAACAAATTGTTATGTACAAACCTGGCATCCACACTTCTGAACAGCTTCTAAGCACTGAACAAACACAAGGACAAACTGATGAGACAAATTAGTCTCTCCATAAGGAAACAATCTTACCCAAGCCAGTCTGGTGATTGGGATTCACATAAAGGTCTTTGCTCCATTCTACCATACATTTCAAAATGGAAACCAAACATTCAAGTCCTTTTTTCCTCAGGCTGAGCTCCTAAAACATGAAGAAAAATAATAATAAAATAAAAACCGAAACCAAACCACAAACAGTGCTGGAAACAGTCTCTACACCAATCTCCCTCTAAGGATTGGGAAAGTATTATCTTAAAAGTAAAATACTTCTGGTGGAGATATGGCACAAAGTCTGTGCAAAGCAAACCCAAGATGAAGGTACTGCTGGTTCATAAGCCCCAGAAGGGAAGTTGTTTGAGTGAGGCAGAGGAAGGCTTGTTTGGTTCTCTTTGCCATAGCAGTCCAGCCAGAGAGCCCAGAACCAGTGCTCACAGCAAACCAGGGCACTGCTTCAGCATCCAACAGCAAATTGGCAAACTAATAAAACGTGAGTACCATGAGTAGGTTACAGACAACAGGAACCACTGGTGGTATCAGTAGGGACACAGAGACAACACTGCTTATGAAACAACAGTACCTTATCTTCCAAGCTGTTCTCCTTACCTGTAAAGGTGTCATGCCCAACTCATGCCCACTTCGTCCCTGTGCAATTTTGGACAAATCATTCACCAGGCGCTCAAAAATATTAGCAGCGTTTAAATCACAGTCATAGTTCACATAAATATCCACTACACACTGGGCATCTTGAAAATAAAGAAAACACAAGTATTAGCATTCAGTGAAATAGCATTTTTTAAAGGAATCAGCCAGTTGGAGCAGGCAGTGTGGATGAATCCAGACACTTAACCCAAGCACTCTGGGATCAAATTCAAATTTTCACACTTTAACATTATATGTGGCATTTGTCTTCAAAATAATTCTCATCTGCTGCCAGAGAAAGTGATTGTTTCTCACAGTGGAAATACCTGCACAAATTCTAGTTAAAGTCTGAATCACCATCCATTTGTGTTCAAAGGAACTTGAAGAAGTCTCTAGAATATTCAGGAAGATCTCTTTGAAGAACACCTGCAAAATAAATAAGGTAAAGGACTTGATAATATGAAACTTATTAGAATGATGTCAAATGTACAAATTAATTTCTGTTCAGTAATTCCCCTTGAAGAGGATCCTTTCATGCATATTAGGATTTAAATACAGTAGCAATGTACTAGTTCATTAAGCAAACCAAACTAAGACATTAACTTGTAAGTTCCAGCCTACTGCAGTATTTAAATGTGAGAACTAGAGCATATGGAAATTATAAAGTCTCTCACCTCAATCTGCATTTTTAAATGGGTCTTAAAATTCGAAAGCAGCGTGAGAAAGATGGCGAGAGAGAGCTCAAACACGTCAGGAACAGAAGAGACTCCGTTTTTAGATAATGCTACACAAAGATATTGCTTGATTGCATTGATGAACATTTCGTGTGTCCTGAAAACCGGACCCGCGTTCTGCAGCACCGACAGGAGCAGCTGCAGAGACACGACCTTGGAGCGCAACTCATGGGATCTAGGAAAAATTAAATGTATTTTTATATTTCTGAGTACATGCCTGTATTCAACATGAGCACTCTAGCATTTCTTCCATGCTATTTTAATTCGCTTCAGTGTGGGGGGCAAGAGGGGTGGAAATCAGCCTGCAACTGATTTTTGAACATCCACCACCTTAATTTGGGAATTTTTCAGGAATATTAACATCTTGGACTAGCATACTTGAATATCTGCTTTACTATACAGCAGCTTCTTAACTGTGTCCAAAAGCTACCTGGACAGGACAGTGTAATAAATACAGCCTCATTACTTGGGGTCTGGTGGTCCATCCCCGAGCGGTTTCATGGAGAGCTTGCACAACGACCTGAACACAAGGAAGGCATCCTTTTGAAGAACATGGGAAAATCTGGCAGCAGCTTGATGTCCAGATACATCTGTTTCCTTGAGAGCAAGAAACACAACACAGATCTTCAGTGAGACAAAGGAACAGAGCGATTACGAGATTCTACAGCTCCCCTGAGAATCAGCTACACATCGAAAAAAATGGTACACTTGGCAAACTTTAAGCTAAACCTAAACAGGATTACAAGGGATCTGGATCTTTTCAGACACATTGACTGACTCTTCACCTCTGTCCCCACTCTGTATTAAAATACAACTGACATAATCAATTTTAGGACAGGTGTTTTCAATATATACTTAAATTGCAGTTGTTGCTTCCTTTTTGAACCTGAGCAGGACACACACATGAGAGTTTCTGCCTCTTTTCTACCCCAAAATTCCACTCTATTAGTTGGCACAATAAAAACATCTCTCCTAAATGTACATCAGCATCCCACGAAGTTATTTACCAGATTATCAGTGGAGGAAACAGACTGCCCATCATCTGAAATCCCGTTTGTTTGCACGTTTTCATTGCTAGAGCCAGAAAGAACAGTATCTGCAGTCTCCAGTGCAGGCAGAGCCCTGACTGGTTCTGTTACCTGCTTTTCTTCAGCCACTAAAGGGGAAAAAACGAACACTGATTAAAATCACTCACTGAGCATTTTTTATCCCACAAATTTGTGAAGCTCTACCACCAAGTGGGACAGAAGTAGCACTGGTAAACTAGAAAGTTCCTCAGCTGTCAGCCAAAGAAGAATATTGTGATACAATAAAAACCTGTTCTTGCTGCTGCAGTAGGTGTTCTTGTCAAGATACTTAGTAACAAAAATAACTTTTATAATATGAGAATAAAAGCTTGGCAATACATAAGCAACTATTTTACTTTAGAAGACTGTGCTACCTTTCACAGCTGACTTGACCACATCTTCCAAGATGTCTTTAACCATTTCCTTTCCTCCATCAGTTGTTTCCTCTAATGAAACACATAGAGATAATTTTGAATTTAGTATTTTTGTTTAGGAAGAGGATTAAAAGGAAAAACATGACAGAGGCAGAAGGGTTAACAATTATTTTCTTCAGTAGTTCTCAGTCATACAAAAATACTCATTGATGTTACTCATGTTGTTTAAATCAAAGCACTGATATTTTTAATGCAGTGATTTTGTCATTTGTATGTTACAAACTTTTGGAATATCCCACATTCCTAATTTGGGTGCAGTAGATGCTTATGATACGGTCTTCATAATATGTATTATTTTTACTCCAGGACTTCAATTACCTCAGAGTGATTCTGCCACATCCCACATACCATGACTATACAGTCTTAAGCTCTGCCAGGGGAGGTTCAGGTTGGATATTAAGAAGAAATTTTTTACAGAGAGAGTAATCAGGCATTGGAATGGGCTGCCCAGGGAGGTGGTGGATTCTCCATCCCTGGAGGTTTTTAAGATGAGACTGGATGTGGTATCAGTGCCATGCTCTGGGAACCATGGTAGGGTTGGATTAAGGGTTGGACTTGATGTCTTGGAGGTCTTTTCCAACCCGGTTGATTCTATGATACCATTCTCTTCCTTCCCTTTAGCAACCTAACCAAGTCAAACTCCATTAAAATTCTATATAGACGAAGCACATATAGTTTTACTGGAATTCTAGGGAAAACAGGAGCCTTTCTTCAGTGTTTACAGTGTAGACACGAGCCAAGGATGGCAACACACTGAAGGACTCCTGAGAAGAGCCAAGCATGGTCTGAGCCGGTGACCCCAGCCAGTCACTTCTTCCCCGAGTAGCCTAAAGAGCATCTTCCAGTACAAACTCTGTAACTGGAAGCAACAGACAGGAGCTATTGGTGTTCACCTGGTGCTGCCGGGGCGCGGTCCCGGTCCGGCGGCCCCTCGGGCTCCCCGTTGGCCATTCCCACACCGCCGGGGGCCGCGGCTCTGCCTCCCCGGGAGCTGAGCTGCCCCTGCCCCGGGGACTGGGACCCTGCCGGCACCGCCGGGGACTGCGCCTTCTGCTGAGCCGCCCTCTCTGCTTCCCTGGACTCCTGGACCTTGAAAAACCAACAGGAGAAGGTTCATCTGAGGGAAAACACATCTACGATGACTGATGTTCCTTGGTGAATTCACGTGGCAGCAAGAAACAGTGAAACTATAATCACTTGGCCAGTGATTATATAAATCTATCGGATTAAAAAGATGTACTTCAAGTTTATTTTAAAAGCATCCCATCATTTGATTATCCAATGCCATTTGACAGAAACCACGGTCATCAGCAAAACCTTGAAACCTTGTCACCAGCAGTGAGCGTCACCTTTTATTTTCCATCAGTCAGTGTGCTTCACTGCAGGATTTGACAGCTTTTTTAACATTACAAAGCAACAGATATCCAACTACAGTGACAGACCTATTAAAAATAATAAAAAAGCTTTCTGTCATTTGTCAAGCGTAAACATTTGAGATGAGCAAAAGTTAACAGTTACTTACAGCTTGGTTTTCCATCCGTGTAAAAATGACATTTAACATCTGTGTCAGGGTAGCTTTGGCAGTTGTCTGGTTAATAAGATTTTTACTGGCCAGATAGATGTTGTAGCAGGTTCTAACAGTCTGGAGAATTGTTCCTTCATGGATTTCTATATACGGAGATGTTACTGCAGTGAGGAGAGCCTGGGAAAGTCCATAAGACAGTAAAAATGAAATCTAAGCAAGTAGGCAGCAATGCTCTTCATGCAAGTCTTCAGAATAATCAGTGGGTTTGTTACAAAACACAGGTATCTTTTTCTAAAACTTTATAAGGAACTTGTAGCTCTCTGCAATGGCATTGCAAATCAAAGAAAGTTTAACAGAACTTCCATATATCTCTGGTCTCTCCTGAGCTGTTGTTAAAGGGTTTTATCACAACTGATTTTCTCCTAAGGGAGATATTCCACCTCCAAACAAAAGCTACTATATTCCATAGCTTCATTTCCATGCAAGGACCAATTGGCCTACACTAACATCACATCAGATTACTACAAGTTTCACCAACTTCCAACCTCAGCTGCCCAAGTAGATTTCAGAAGCTGAACACACACCACTGGCACCACTATGCCTTGTAGGGAACATACACTGCACTGTCTGGACAAATGGCTCTGGGAGCAGACAGGCTAGAGCAGCATTCCATGGCACTGCCTCCCAGCTCCAAGGCCCATTGGGGCTGACATCAATTCCCTGGCCTGAGGGAGGTGGGCACTGAGGGCCTGTAAGATGAGTACCAAGCCATCTGCAAGATGGCTCAGCTCAGAAAGAAGGACAAACATTTACAAAACATTCCCTGTGTTCTGCCTCCTCAACAGGAAATCCATTTCCCATATCAACCCTACCCTGTGACAGCCTCCTTGAATGTAGCAGCACATGGGACAGTGTAGGAAACAGAGAATGAATCAAATAAAATACCTTAATTATCTGCAGCTGTACTCCTTCATCTGTTTGAGGACCCTGAAAGCAGTTGCAAATGGTTTCAACTATGCGGTCAATCAGCCGTTTTCCAGGAGCTCCGCTATCTGGAGCGTTGCCAGTGATATGTCCATATGCTATGAGTTTCTAGGTACAAGGAATGCAGTTTAGATGACCATATTGTTAAGAAAAATGCATTTTAGCACAGCATAAAAAGGAAATTTTAGGTAGCATACCTCACTTAACCAGTTTTAACACAAAAACTTAACACCACTTATAGTCTGGCCACCAAATACTTGGACTGTTCACACATCTGGACAAAACAGACTTTAGTAAGTGACACACAAGCTTTTTCCACCCAGACCATTTCTTCATACTATAAAACTAGACAAATTTTTTTTTAACATCAGTCTTTGTTCCTATTCCCAACTGAAGGATTCTGCCCAAGATGTGTAAGAATCTAAAGAGGAACAAGGAAGGCAGATTGCAGAGTCTGACCTCCCATCACATCAGCACCACAAGAAGCACCACGGTGATACTCCTTTCAGAGCATCACAGATGAAGCATCTTTACTGGACAGCGTGAGGATCCCTGAGCCCCAGCAAAGCCTTGCCCTGTGCAGGGCAGGTCATTGCTCATGGCAGGAATACCAACAGCATGTTCCTCCAGCTCACTCTGACCAGGCTGAACCAGACACTTACCTGTAGGCAATCCAGGGAAGTGCTGACAATGCGGGGAGACTTTGACTGGCAGGCCAGCTCAAACGGAAGGAAGTATTTATCTGCTTCGATGAAATTTGCTTTCGGTGGAGCAGCAGTGCCTTCTCTAGGTCAGATAAGAAGAGTTACTCATCTTTCTAAACACGTATGTCAGAACAAACTACACTTTCTCCTTTTCTAAATTTAAAGCTGAAAAAAACACAGCAGCATACAAATGTATCGCAACTTTCTTGCATGTGCTTTCTTAAAGGAAGTTCAATTTTCTTTTAAAATCACACGAACCCCACTTTACATTTATTTATACTCTATGTGATCTTTTTCGTATCTTCTTCAACTTAACTCTCCCCTCACTATACTCCAACACTGTCCCATTATCTGAAATACCAGGGAACTCCTACACAACTGATAAATCCATCCGTTTTATTCAGAATGAATTAAACAGGGCCCATAACAGGAATACTATGCAAATAGAAACACATTTGGGGACCCATTTGCTCATTTTTAATCATAGCACAATGCTGGAAAACTGTTTTAAAATTTGTATTTAGGTCATATTTAAATCAGTGTTCTTGATCTAGGTAATAAAGAGCATATGCTATCAAACAGAGGGTACCTCCTGCTCCTTCTGATTTCCTACCAGACTATACTGAGCCCAGTAAAAGGAAGTGAAAAACTGGCACCTTTTATAAGTTTTGCAATTTTTTCACTGTGAAATTCAGAGGCAGTTATGGCTTGAGTACCCACAGCCACAAACATTGTGTAAGTGGAACATATGGGCCATATGTTCTTGGCAGAAAGATGTGTAAGTGGGTATTCACAAACTCACTGCTGTAACGTATATACACTCTTACATTTCCACCATCCAACTATTTCACTTGCTCTTTCCACACACAGTTTGCAGCAATTAATAATTTACCTTTGCTTTTCCAGCTCACTCTTTATTTCATCTGGAAGGAAGAAAAAAAAAAATCAAACCTCAGTTATCATTATCAATAACACAGTAATAAAGTAAAGCTGTTTCAGGTCACCAGTCTTGCACTTCAGTATTTCCCATTCCTTTCCTGCAACACCTCAGCTTCAGAATGAAAATTACACCTGTTATTGGAAGGTGTATCTCCCAATTTTTATGTTAAAGAAGCTAATTTTTCCATAAATTCTCAACAAAGGGTATTTTTAGAACACTCAGGTATAGTATGCAACTTTTATTGAAGTGCAAGTCCACATCACAGAGAGCTCAGGTCTGCAGAAGCCTTTGAGCCACTGCATAAAACATGAGTTCAATGATCGACATCCCAGTTCCCCGCAGTGCCAACCTGCTTGTCCTGAGCCCCACAACATCAATCAGCTGAACAAGCTCCCAAGAGATAACAAATCCTAAATGCTCTCTGTCCTTTTGCCAGCAGAGATTTTTGGTTTATAAATTACACTTTCAGAGAGCTCTTCATAAAATTAAATACAGGGGAAAAGAAAGTTCCTTCCTCATTTCTCTTCTACACAGCAGCAAATCCCAAAGATCGTAGTATGGCTTTTTGAGGAGTTCTAAGGTATCACCATGATGCATAACACAGACCAGACCTGCACCCTCTGTGAACAGTGACAAACCAATCCCCAAAGCAGCACCCACAGTAAGGCTGCACAGCCTCTGACACCAGCAGGACCCTGTCCATCCCACCCCACAGCACGTGCTGCAAACCTTCCCAACTGGGAACTACCAGGCCTACAAATCTTGTTTCAATGGCAGGTATTAGAAACCCATCGTTCACTCAATATTTGGTCTCCACAGCTCTGCAGAGGTACCATTGTTTTGGGATGAGATGTTCACAGTTGAGTTAAAGTGCAGTTTGTGAACCTCAGTAATTTCTTCTGTCTCAGCAGCACCAATACACAAACCACACTAAGGAACAAGGACTGCAGCAAACACAGACCATGGGGTTTTGCACAGGCCTAGTGCTCAATGAATGGCCCAGGAATTAATCCTCGCAGCATGTGCTGATTTTGTAACATTACTACCCCCATTGGACAGAGGAAATGGAAGCAAAACAGAGAAAACCTGTGTAACTATGAGATGTGAGTGGTAAGCTGCATCCAGGATTAGGACTTGCTATTCCCTCTCCAGATCCACTGTTAGAGAGTCAGTCTGACATCCCCCAGTTCTTGAGGCGTGCAGTGCTGTTACACCAACCAAGGTAACCTTATCCAGTCAGCAAGAGACAAAGGGAAGTGGAAGAGTCACAGGGGCACAGTGTTCCCAGCTCTCATTGAGCCCCTCAGCAAACAACCCTGTCCAGCAGCTTTAGAGGACAGAACCTCTTCACTCTCCAGCCCTGCAGAGCAGAGCCCAGCGCTCAGCCCCAGAGCCTGGGGCTGCAGGATCAGCAGTGACTTTGCACAAAGCCATCCCCTGATACTCCAGGCTTCAGCAACAGAAGGGAGGCTGTTGGTAAGAAATAACCAAGGTTTTCTGCACCAAACAACACCAGTCTTACACAGCACCACTTTGGGACCGCTGCGTTCTTCATTCCAGGGTCCAGTTGCCCTGAGAACAAGGGGACTAGTCAGAAGTTCAGTTCAGTATAATTTGAATTCAGGCCTCTTGATTTTATTAACTTCCCCATCTTTAACACCACATTATGATCCAAAGAGCTACTGAGAAAAGCATATGCTGAAGGACCCACCAATTTATTGCATCCCTATATTGATCTGTCTTATTCTTAGTGCAGCATATTCCCATAGCATGCAGGAACCAGCTCCTTAAAACACTGAATTTTCTGGGTAACTTTACACATTCAGAACACTTAGTCCTGCCTCCAGGTCTTGGCAGAGAAAGACATATTTTAGCTATAGCCAGAATCCCAAGTACAGCAGGATGCTGAGAGCAGCTATAGCACAATTAATGCTGTATTTCAGACACACTGTACAACTAGGGTATACAGAGCTTTTTGAATGATTGCAAAAACTCAAATGAGTTTCTCTTTCTTTCAAAGAGATCACTTTCCCCACATACTGCCTGCTAGCAGAGTAAAAAAAGTCTTGAAACTTCATATAGATTTTAGTCTTAAGGAGACATGATCATGTCCATCTTTACTGGTACTTGTCCCAGATCCCGCATTGGAAAAATATGCAAGAACAACATCCCATATTAGAGCAGCAACAGTTTCACTTCCAGAAATACCCCATTAAAGAAAAAAAAATCTAACCAAAGCATGACCAAGTTGCCCACAATTTTATTATAATAAAGCCTTTTCTAAAGCCATATAAAAACATCTGCACCACAAGAGTATTTTAATTGATAATGTTGGCAGAAAAGAATAAATGAAAGGACAAGAGGAAGCTACAGCCACGCCTCTGCTACTGGTTGCATCAAAATAGTTTGAGAACCTCCACATTTGAAGTTTGTCCACATTTGGTGGGCTGACCACCAGAACTGAGTAAAACAGAAATGGTTGCCTAATTGAAGTCTGCTGCCATGAACAGCTTGCCAAGCCCTGACCAGGCCCCACCAGAAACCAAAGGCCAGCAGCACTCTCCTCCTCCAGTCATGGGAGTAAAGGGCACAGCTCAACTGCCTTCCACATCTACAGAACACAGCCTGAATTTTGGTGAATATCTGGTCACCCCAGCACAATGCTGACCCTTCACTTGGTGCTTTGGGTATTGGGGCTCCCTGCCACTCTCAGGGCATCTCCTCCAGTCACAAACATCTTCAGCCCATGTGCTGCCCACCCAATGCAAGTCCTGCAGCACTCCTACCAGGAACAGAACTGGAATGACAAGAATGGCCTTGCAGCAACTTCTTCCAGAGCTTCTGGCCATAAAAGCAGGAGGAAGCTCACACTGAGTAGCTGCCTTCCTGCAGCAGATGGAGGGTTCAGTTCGCCTGTACTGAAAACTCCCAGTGAAGCGCAGGAGTGAAGGCACAGCCAGGTCTGTACGGTGGGAGCGAGCCAGCCCCTGTGCAGAACATGGCTTGTGCTGGCACAAGGACACAAGCCATGTCCTTCCACAGCCTGGCCAGCAGCAGTGCCAACACAAACACACGGAGCAGCAGCCAAAGCTTCCCTCCCCCAGCCCAGCGGAGCCACTGCATTGCCCAACCCCAGCCTGCCTTCAGCCGAGATCCCAACCCCGCAGTCACTGATCACATCCACCTACAGGGAGCCCTGCAGAAAAGGCTGCCACGAGGAACCCAAACTCTCCTCTGTGCCCCAGCATTCTCCAAACACACTGGCCAAGAGGCTAAATTAGGAAACACAACTTACTTTGGACATCTGTCATTATACCCAGAGACTTCTTAAACACACAACCTGATTCCCAAGTGAAGGCATGGTTGAAAAGATGATTTTTTTCAAATCTCATTAACAAGCTAACTAAACAAATTCTGTTGTTTACAAAGCTCAAAGATATGTATGTGGAGCTGCCCAGGCAATCAAAGAAGGCCACAGAGCCAGGCTGGCTGCACAGTGTGTCATTAAAAGCAGCTTTAGTAGGTCAAGAGTAATAGTTTACGTGAGAGACCCAGGTGCACAATTAGCATTAGCCCAAAGTGAACTGCTGTGACACACTGTCCGTGTTCCACTGCACATTTTTCAGGACAGTTTCAGTAGGTTTACTAAGAATCGTGTGCACCAAGATCTCCATGTAAATGCTTATTAAGCAACTATTTTTATACAATACAATGGCTGTCTGTTGAAAACAAGTTTTCTTAAAACACAGTTTTCTAAAGCAAAGCAGAACAGCTTCTCTGTTTATAATCCTCCATTTTTCCCAATCTCTCCTGAGGCTTACAGGCACTACTAGAACAGGAGACAACCGTTACACCTACTGATGAAGCAAGAGACTGAATGAAGGAATCTATTCAAACTCTGCTTACTCAACATTAACACTGTGTGTTTCAAAGGAGGGGGTGGAAGGGGAGGAAAAAAAAAAAACCCTTCAAAAAACCACCACTGGGAACTGGTTTTATTCCTTTTCTTCCACGCTTCTTCTGTTTATGTCCTACTTGAGCCTACCTTACTTCTGATTTCTACAAGGTCACGAGGTTATTCTGCAGTCCAAAACTGCACAGTATTAGTCCAGTGAAGGGTTGAACTACTGGGAAAAAAAGGTTAAGAACAGTTTAAATTTAGAACTATTAAAACAGATGAAAATTAGAATGAAAGAACACCTGTATTTCCTACATAAGAAAGACATCGACATTCAGGAGTGATTTGCTTGAGTTCTCAGGAGTTGAACACATTCGAACCAATAGAGAACTCATGTAAGAAAACAAGAACATCATTCCCACAGTTAGAAATCTATTCCTCTCTTAGCAGACAACAAATTTAAAGCACAGGTAAGCAACAGAAACACTCCTGCAGTAACACCATAGCAGAAACTCTGTTTGCAGGTTAATTTCTATTATGCAGCTGTACAATAAACTCGTTTCTCTCTATTTGGAAAAAAGGAATTCATCCTAGACTTCCCTAGGACCAGGAGCAGATACCATTGGCACGTGCCCCGTGCCTGTGTTGCCTGGTTTATAACTGGTACAATGCCTCAGGGCTCCAACAAAAAACAACATTGCACAAATAAGACTGCACAGCAAATGGAACTTAGGAAGAGGTAGAAATGGATTATTCAAAGCATGACTTGGAGTAAAGTGCAGCAGACAGCAGCTGACACAGTGACCGCTTTCATAAAGTAACTTTACATTTCTCTCAAATTGAATTGTTTTTCCGCAGCATTAACTGCACTTTTTACTATTATTCACAACACTGAACCTTTTCATCCTTAGCAGTTTGTGTAGGTTACAAAGTTTGGCCTGAATTCTTCAGACTGCAAGTAATGTTCTTCCCACATCTCCTCACATATTTACTATTGCACAGGGCTTGATAATTAAGTTGATGCTTTTGAAACTGAAGTCACAGTCTTAGGTAATATCAAGCATAAGCTTAATTAAAATTAAGTATATGGAATAAAACTGATTTTTCACTTGAATTTAAAAAAAAAAGGCTTAACCTAAATAGAATAATGTTTGGCAAAAAAAGCACATGTAAATAAAAGAAACCACATTCCTGTTGGTAACCTAAAAGGATTAAATAAATATTCACCAAATATAACAGAGGTCCTTCTGTACAGTAATTGAGGCCCTGCTAGGGCAGGACAGTTGGTCAACACAAGGTTATCTCTTCATGCTGACCTCTGCTTTAGCCCAGAAAAGCATGTGGGGCTTTTTTTTCAAAGAAGATTAGCAAAAAAAATGTCCGTCAGCACCAGCACTAATTCCCCTCAAACACACTGTACCTTAAAACATGCAGGCATGGAATAGTCATAATCCAACAAGCAGCTATTGCACAACGCTCCTCCCAAAATCATCCTCTGCGATGTGTTAGCAAACATGGACCTTCACTGGGCATCTTACAAGGAAGTTTCCTTTCTCAACCTCTAAATACGTTCACATAGCAGCAAAACAGGTTCTCTATCCCATAAATGGGTTTGATGCATTTGGGGGGAGTTGGAAAAGGAATTCATTAGGAAAAGGAGCCTCTAACCTCCAGGGCACACGTGCTATTCTCTTGCTCACAAAGTCAACTCTAAATAACAATAAAAGACACCCTTCTCTGTGGTTACCTTTCTCTGGATATACTGTCACTACAGCTCCTACAGATCTCCTGTCAGGAAGGATTGCAGGGAAGGAGATAAAAACGACAGTTTCTTTGAGCTCACTCTCACAGTGCCTGGGACAGAACTTGCATCTGCCCAGTCTCCTTACACACCCAACCTGTCTTTTCTTCTGTCCTGGCTACACTAAATGTTCCCAGTTTAAAGGAAAATATTGACAGGAAGCAACCAAAACTGTAAGAGAGATGTCACCTTCACCAACTAAAAAAGGCCACAGAGAACTCCAGCTGCAGAGCTCTACTACTCTGCCCAGCTCCTCTTCCTGACACAGTGTTTTCAGAGCTGCTAACACAGAGACCTTTACATCAGCTCGTACTTGCAGAGGATTTCAGGACCAGTCCACTAACTTCACAAAAAGTGTTTCCAGCTGGGCAAACATCACAGACATTGTATGTACGTGGCCACACAGCTAACAGTCCTTAGCCGGTCCGACCTCGAGCCGGAGATCAGAGGTCAGGAGATTTACCAGCCCTGGAAGCTCTGGGACACCGTAAGCCGAGGGCCTCAAAGACTCTATTTCCCAGTCTGAAATGAATTTTCTCAAAACTGAAGTGGCAAGCCCAAATCCCTCCTGCTTCACGGCGAGGCCAGAACTCCATTAAACGGGTACTTGGGGATTTTTTTTCCCCTTGTATTTGCAAGTCCTCTCTTGGAGAGAGAGCTCCCCCCCCCGCTCCAAAGTCCCGACGGGACCCGCCCCGGGCGGACAAGGCCCGTTCCCCGCCCGCGGCCGTGCCCGTGTCCCTGCACGGGCCGGGCCGGGCCGGGCCGGGTAGACTCACCCAGCGCCACCTGGCAGGCTCTCCGCAGCTGCCCGTGCGGCGGCCGCTTCGCCTCCTTCTCCGCCAGAATCTTCTCCAGGGCCCGCGACACGAACATGCTCTTGGTGCGGGCGTCCTGCTCGCGGGCCGGGGGCTGCATGGCGGGGCGGGGCGGTTCCGGCGGGGCCGGGAGCGGGGGCAGGGGCCGCGAATAAGGCCCGGGCCGGCGCTCAAGGCCCGCGGCACCTCCCGGAAGAGACGCGCCCCCCTCAGCGGCCGCGCCGCCGCCACGGCGCCGCCATGTTGGCACCGTCACGTGACTCGGGACACCCCAGCCGGGGCCGCGGGGCCGGGGCGGTTCGGGGCGGGGCCAGGAGGGGGGCGGGGCCAGGGGCGGGGCCGGGGTCGTGCGGGCGGGGGTTCGGTCGCTGTCAGGTCCCCTCAGTTCCCGTCACGTCCCTTCGGGCCCTCTCAGTTCCCTCAGTTCCCCCCCCTCAGTGCCCTCAGCCCACCTCAGGTCCCTCAGTCCCCTCAGATCCCCCTCAGTCCCCTCAGATCCCACTCAGGCCCCCTCACGTCCTCTCGGTCCCCCTCAGGTCCCCTCCGTCCCCCTCAGGTCCCCTCCGGTCCCGCCGTGCCCGGCCCCCGTGTCAGTCCCGAGCATAGCAAGAGCATGCAGGTGAAACACCCAAAGTCGTGCCTTAAAGAGGAATCACTGAACACTAAATTCTCAGTTCCAGGAATTAAGTCTCCTTTAATAATCTTATACCTGATTGCATGTTCTCCCTTTACCCTTTGCCCACGTCGTAGGACGCCTTACACCAGAAGCGTGGACACTGAAAGCCAAACAAACGGTGACTTTGAAGTACAAACTGGGGCAATAATCTGTATTTGCTCCCCTGACCCCTCCACGCTCCATAACCAGTACTAGCAAATGCTCCAAACACTTGTGCAAAGCATTAGTTTAGTATTATTTCCCAGTGAAAATTGGCAGGTGCTTTGTGATCACCTCGTTCACACAGAGCTGAGGACTCCAGCTGCCTGGAAAAATAGGAGTTAGAGGATGGGAAATCAGGAATTGCAACAGGGCTGGATAAGCAGCAGGGAAGGGCCTCTATCTGGAAACAATTTTGAAGATCTGTTAGTACCTGAAGACTTGGATTTCCCTTGGAAGTCAGCAATCCAAGCATGGGTGTGATATGAGTGTGATTTCATGGCTCCTGGTTAAACCAAAATTTAACAGGGTGAAACTGTCTCAAAAATCTGCTGGTCACCTCTGTTCTCTTGGCAGTAACAGCACATCCTGCCTCTGCTGCCACCAGAGAATGTGCCACACAGTACAGGGAGACACTGCTGGGAGGTTAAAGTCCTCTGAGGGTTTGCCAGCTGAAGGTCCCACAAGGGAACTGGCTCAGAGTTCCCTCTGTGTCAGTGAGTGATGTCCACGCCAAGGAATTGCTCTCCCGAGGCTGGGAAGGGCTTCAATGGGTCATTTAATCCATCTCCAAGCACAGGGGCACAGTGTGGCCTCTCCATGAAAAGCTACAAGAGAGGAGATTCAACAGCTTTGCACTCGCTTGCCTCCAGTGTTTCATTCACCATCCAATTAGGAAATTCTTCCTAATCTCTGGTCCAGACCTGACCTGCTGTCCATTAGCAATGGAAGGACTCTATTATCATGGTGATGGGAATAGCAGAAAAATAGAGACAAATAATGTTGAAATCAGAGAAGTAAATATTTGTTTGTTTGTTTAATGAAGACATTTCCAGATCATGAATATAGTTTTGGGTTTTTTTCTACTGAAAGGGTCTTACAGTCTTCCTGCAGTTTGTTTGAATTTCTGGTTTTCTATACATTAACATATAGATGTCTGATTTCACTCTCCTTGTTGCCTCAGTAACATAATTGCTTTACATTGAATAGATTTCATCCTCAAGCTTTGTGCTGATATTTTGTGTATTAATTTCACTGCACAACAGAGTGAAACCATGTAACGTATGCTTTATAGCAGCTAACTCCATTAATAGTTAGAAAAATGCAGCTCATTTCATGATGCTGAAGTAGACCATAATTTTCCCTAGTCTTTTCCTGGCAGGATTCAGTTTGCTACTATTTTAAAATATCAGCTGTGTAACCATTTTATGTATTTGCTCTGCTCTACCACAGGCTCCCAAATCCTCTCCACAGTGTATCTCACTGACTGGCAACATCTCATTTAATTTGTTCTCTTCTGAAGGGCAAGAAATTCAGTATAAACCTTAAGAGCCTCATTACTGATCAAAGGAGTGACAGGAGGGAACAATATAAAATTTCTTCTGACTAGTTTAATTTAGCACATCTGTGTCTCCCTAGCAATGCAGATCTATTAGAAATGAGAGGTGAAGAAACAGTACACAAAAAAAAGGAGAGAACAGGCTCACCTGTCACAGAATTGAGTAGTGACATTGAGAGCTCAGAAGTTTAGTTTATTTTTAGATTACTTTACTTTACTTTACTTTATGGTAAAAGAACCTGGACAGATTATTAACTCAGATAAACTTATGTAGTTTGGGGTCCCTTGTACAAATTTGTTTGTTTGTTCACCTCCAATACCTGAAGTAAAGAGCAAGTGTATTTCCCTGGAATTCAGTTGTTTACTATTACAACAGCAAGTCCTGAAGCCAGCTGTGTAGTTTGTACAGGATCCTGTTTAATGCTATACAGGCATCCAGTGTTTGTTTTATTGTACCAATACATTACACCTCCACACTGTTGTATTTTTAGATGCATATTTTTCAAATATGCTCCCAGTCAGAAATGTGGCTGCAAACCCAACCCCCCCAAAGTACATATCTGTACATCTGATTCTCCTTTCACTTAGAGTGCTGTATTTCAAGGGTAATTCTACTGTTAACAGTGAAATTACAGTGATGCAGAAGTGACAAAACTAGAAGACAAATAAGGCCCTGAATCTTTTTTTTTTGAGGGTTGCTGACTTAGTTATTGACACAAAAGAAGGCTGTAATTACTGTCAGCAGCACTGCAGAACTAATTAAGCAGCAGAGCTCTTCATGTATTGTCAGCCAAATTATCAGTTCTGATTTTAGGATTTTTATTGTGGGATAGAGTTAGTTTTCATGGGAGAAGGAAAATGGATACTGGCTAGTTTTTAGAAAATAGATTGAAGAGACAGTTTTAGGGAGATTTTTAAAAAATTGTCTATCAAGCAAAAAACCTGCCTCTCAAATCCTGGAGTAGTATCTGAATTCCTGGGTGTAGGGCTACACTGAGGTTATGGTTTGGACTCCAAAGGGCTTCAGTTCCAATGAGGTCTCTGACTGTAAGTGGCAGATGAAGAACACAGAGCTGGTGGATGGTGAGCTCTCCTGAGGGAAGTTTGGTTAGAGGCGGGCTCCAGGCTCAGCAGAACATAAGTGGTTTGGTGACTGACATCCTTTTAGCAATTCCTATTATGCATGGTACCAATACCATCATTATTTTCAGCCAAAAGAGACAGACAGTCATCCATCTTGCAGGAAATAGTTTTGCACAAACAGGATAATCTGACAACATAATATATGCCACTCCTCACAGGGTGCCATGTAATAGAAATCTCACTATATACAAGATTTAGGCATCTGAAGTGAATTTGAAAATTTTGTTTCTAGAAACAGGCATAAAAATTTCTAGATGTTCTTTTTGTCCCTAGAAAATTCTTTGGCCTTACCCCAGGGGAGTACAATGGATCCTGTATGTTGCATACAGTGTGTTTATGGGACCTGTTCCTTCTGCTTGACCTCCTTGGTCTGCCCTGTTTGCTCACCAGTTTGCTTCTGTGTTCCTAAGCAAACTTCCTGAGCTGTCCACTCACCACAACAGCCCACCTGGAAAGGATCTCCAGCTTCTTCTCACAGATGCAATAAAACAGGAAATCCGAGGAAGTGCAGTGTGATCTGCAGCAGGACCCAGAGGCAGACGAAACCCTTCCAGCAATACCAGTGTTTATAAGCCCTGGGAGACAGGATGGCTCTCCAGGCTGAGGCTTTCAGAAAAAAAAGTAGCTCAGGAATACTGGTATTTATGCTACAGCAAGGCACCTGCTCCCATGATGATTTGCTGCCTACGTTGGCACCCGTGACAAAGAATAGCGGGTCTGCCATTTACGTGGTTTCCTATTTTGTTGTTGACCTGTCTCTCCCTTGTGTTGGCCGTTACAGGTCTGCCACTGTGCACACTTGTGACAGGCGTCACCTCTGAGGAGCTCCCTCCCACAAACCAGAACCACTCTCATTTCTGTGTTCCTGAAACAGAGCCCTCTTCCTCTTGGTTTCTTTCTCTCTCTCTTTTCCTCTTTCACTGAAATACAAGTATTCGTAAAATACAAGCACATTCTTTGGTAAGGGTGATTGGATATGGAGGCCAAGGATACTTGAATCATTGGTACCAAACTGATGAGCCCACTAGACTAAAGACTACCTGAGGACTCAAGAAAGAAAAAGTGGAAGAGGCAGAGAAGAGTTCTTTGAAAAATCTGTAATTTAAAAAAAGGTGCAACCTCGTGGATGCAGCCTTGGTGAGTGATTATGACCTGTTGTTCATTACTCACATGCAAAAAAGGTTAGACTGGGTATTATTCTGAGGTGTTCCCTGAGGCCGTCTCTTCTGTCACATCATAGCTCGTTGTGGCAAGTACATCAGTAGTGTGAGACACAAATCAAGAGCAAACAATGCCTAACAGGTGGACACAGTTCACAGTTTGTATAAGCTACTTCCTTGGCAAGAAGCTTCCCTAGATTTCTGCCCAGGGACCAGCTGCTCTGCGCTGACTGACAGGACTAACCTCCCAGCACTTCCCCACTGCCATATTGCTACGTATTTGGCATTGGGAAGACCTCACTCTAAAAAAAAGATGCAGAATGGACGGGAAAATCCTTGGAAAACCAGCATTGATCTGTATAGCAGCTTAGTTCCCAGTCCAGCATTAGCAGAAATTCCTTCTAGATCTTCTTTTCTCTTTTTTTGCCCATTTTTAATCATTTCCATAGGGACTGATCCTATTTATTCTGCCTGGCTTCCAGCTGCTTTCTCTGCTGCCCAGTAATGTACTTAGTGGATTTCCCAGGGGGCTCCCAATTTGATTCACTGTCTCAGCTCTCTAATTCTTTCCAGTTCAACATTGCATGCCCTAAAATCAATAAATCCAGATGATAAAGAGTTCTCTCGTTGCTAACAGTATAATTGAGGTAACTGAGGGATTGCTGAAACAAATTATTAAGTGGGTATTTATACAAGTATTTGGTTGGTATTAGCAA